TTCTGTCAACACCGCTGAGCTGACTTGATCATTGTTTCACATGCTGCCCTTCTGGGGAGGTGGTGGGGGTTGGGTGGAGAGGAAAGAGAGGGGAAAGAGCTGAGAACGTCTTAAATTTGACTTCTGTCAGCACTGCTGAGTTCACTTTTGAGGCGCCTCAAAAGACTTCTGTCAGCACTGCTGAGTTCACTTTTGAGGCGCCTCAAAAGACTTCTGTCAGCACTGCTGAGTTCACTTTTGAGGCGCCTCAAAAGACTTCTGTCAGCACTGCTGAGTTCACTGGTCACTGCTGCACATGCTGCCCTTCTGAAGAGGGTGGACTCGGACGGAGAGGGAAGGGGAAGAGGGAAGAGGAGGAGCAGCGCAGCAAGTGTGTGAATGTCAACCTCTGTCAGCACGGAAGCGCTGGCCGTTAGTCATTGCTGGACCTCTCTCGAGTCCTTCCGAAAGAAGGGTGTGGGGAGAGAAATATTTGGACAAGAGGGGTGAAGGGGGATTAGGGCAGAGGCAAGAGGGAAGAGGGCAGAGGGAAGAGGGCAGAGGGAAGAGGGCAGAGGGAAGAGGGAAACACATGCTTTGACTCTACGAATCATAATTCCTTTCCTCCCCACGCACTGAAGGTGCGTCACGGATATCTTCTCAGAGGTACTGAGTCTATGAATCCTCGGACTCTTCTCCCTCACGCACTTGCACCTTGCGATGCCATTCGAGCTCCCCTTCCTGAGGAGTCATTTCTGTGTCATCTGTGTTTCTTCCACTCACACCTGTAAGAACTGAGTCTACGAACCCTCGTACTCTTTTTTCACACCCACCTGCAAGTCACTGCGTCGTGAGCCGCTCAAGCTCCCTTTCTTGAGGAGTCACCTCAGCATCTGCCTGAGGAAAACCCCCCGAGGTACTGACTCAACTGATCCTCCTCACGGCTTCTTCTCGAGTTCTTCTCTCACACACCCACCTGCAAGTACAACGCCTTGAGGCGCTCCAGCTCCCCTTGCATATGCAGGTCGAGGATAACCTGAGAGATGTCCGGCCCCACCTGCGACCCCTTGGGGAATGCCTGTGGGGTGACGATGGTGAGAAAGGGGTGGAGGGGGGTGGGAAGGGGGTAGGAAGGGGGGTGAGGAAAGAGGATGTGATTTGGAGGTCAACAGTGCTGAGAGAAGGAGAGAGTGGCGAGAGGAGAGAGAGGAGGCAGGGGAGGGAGGGGAGCAAAGGGAGGAAGAGGGAATGCAGTTCACTGTGGAAAGGCGAGGAATGGAGTAGGGATGTGATGCCGGGCTCATTCTTGCAAGCGAGGCATGGTGATGGGGATGTGGAGCTGGCCTTTCAAGGGACACAGTTTCTGAGACGTCTCGGAAATCTTTGCAGTGAGGCATGGCTGATGGGAATGTGGTGCCGATCTCTTGAGAAACACAGGAAACCTTCTGTGGACATGTGGGTGGAAGATGCACATGCACAAACACATAATATACATGCAAATGCACATGCACAAACACATGATATACATGCAAATGCACATGCACAAACACAAAATATACATGCAAATGCACATGCACAAACACAAAATATACATGCAAATGAACATGAACAAACACAAAATATACATGCAAATGCACATGCACAAACACACACATGCAAACGCACATGCACGTGCATATACATCCACATCCTCACAACCACTTCCAGCAACCAATTCTCAGCATGCACTTATGCCACAGTGCACTTGCACCACAGAACACCACAGTCCACCACAGAGCACCACAGAGCACCCACAAAGGCGAGGTTGAGGATGGAGAAGGGCTGCGACGCCTGAACCCCATCACAGAAGGAAGCGGAAAAGAGGTTGAGGTAGGGGTCCTCGTCCACTATCACTGTCACCCTTCCTGATGCGAGCGATGATGCGAACTCGCTCTCCCCTGCCAGCGACACTAGCTTGTCCTGCCAGCCAGGGGAGAGAGCGGGTGAGGCCAGCCGGGGGGAAGGGGTGCGGCAGGCAAGGCAAGTAAGCATCACTTATCTGCGAGTTGGGTTGTTGCGGACTAGCACTGTCAAGGAAGCAAGATGACTTTTGAGTCAACTCAAAAGTCACTGTCAAGCAAGCGATTAAGAGGTCGAGGTAGGGGTCCTCGACCACAATCACTGTCACGCCACCCTCCCTGACGCCAGTGATGATGCATACTCGCTCTCCAGGAGAGCCTCTCCCCTCGACATTGCAGGGATTTCTAAAAAAATTCCTGATGCATGCATGCTCTCCCCCACCAGCGACACCAGCTTGTTCTGATGGCATTCAAGAGGTGTGTGGAGGGACGGAAAGAGGGGGGAGAAAGGGAGACGGGTGGTGGAGAAGAGGTTGAGGTAGGAGTCCTCAACACATACTCGCTCTCCCCCGCCAGCAATGCCAGCTTCTCCTGATAGGACTCTGGGGGTGTGAAAAGGAGGGGAAGAGATGCAGAGGGTAAGGTAGAGGAGGGGGTAAGGTAGTGGAGAAGGAGCAGGCGTGGTTGTGCTAGCCTCACAGGCTGCTAGCAGACTACTGCCACGTTACTGATAGTGCCACACGTGCTACAGCAGCTGGTGAGATGCACAGCATGAACCCACGTCCCTCATACAGCCAGGGGCGAGGAACGGGCAGCAACAGCAGGTAGGTGAAGGGGGAAGGAGAGCAAATGGGCATGTGAGTCCAGAGTGGCAGGGCGTGAGAATCAGATTGAAATTATTTGCTTTGAAACGGGGTATATGTATCAAATAACTTGCAGTTCTGAGATGCGGGATGATCAGGTGAGGTGAAAGAAGCACTCACGGGGGCAACACCCAGCTGCAGCAGGTACGAATTCACGAAGGATCCCTGCTGGTAGCCGACAGGGGATTTGCTACTGAGAGCGGAGTGGATGTCCTGGGGGGGTGGGTAGAGGTAGAGGGCGCAAGAGCAGAGCAAGTAGCATGGAGGGAGAAAGAGAGGTGCGAGCATGCACGCATGTGCCAAAAAAAGGAGCTGTGTTTCTGGTAGGCAATGGGTGAGTTGCTGATGAGGGTGGAGTAAATGTCCTGGCGGGGTGGGTGGAGGGCGCAAGAGCAGGTAGCAGGGAGATGGAGAGGCGTGGGTCTGTGCATTTGCAGGGAACGGGGATGTAGGGGATGGAGGGATGGAGGGAAGCATGGGATGGAGGGAAGCATGGGATGAAATATGATCTGGGATAAGATGTGCTCAGATGGAAGAGAATTTCTTCCATTGCACGTGCTAATATAGGAGAGGGAAATGCTTACCATGTGCGGCGTAGGGAACGAGATTATACGAAAGAAAGCAACTGTAATGCGGGTCATTATACGGGAAGGGTTCCTCACGAGGACTTGCAGAAGGAGCCTCTAGATTGTGAGGATGGCAATGAGATTGGCAGTGTAGGATGTGGCTATAATGAAGGCTAGAAGCAGCCATGTGCGAGCAAGTAGAGGATGAGATTGAAACATGTGCTCACGAGGATTTGCGGAAGGAGCCTCTGCATTGTGAGGATGGAGGTGAGATTGGCTATATAAGAGTTGGCTATAACGAAGGCCAGCAGCAGCCAGATCACCACGACCACCCGTGCAAGTGTCGTGTGGATGCGGAACACTGTTGGAGGGAGGGGCGATACACTCTCACGGTCACACACACATAGATGATAATTCTACTTACTTGCTCTGGTCTGATATGCAAAAAAAAAAAAAAAAAAAACCCCATTTTGAAGATTTCAATGACGGGGGAGAGAAGTGATGGGAGGACACAGGAGGAGGAGAGATGGGAGAAGGAAAGGGGAGTGGTGGAGTGAGGTGGGAAGAGATAGGGAGTGGTGGGGAGAGGTGGGGAGAGGTGGGGAGTGGTGGGGAAAGGTTGCAAGAGGGCGCACCGGGAGTGGAGTAGAACGTGTGGCAGCCATACCTGCAAGCAAGGATAAGGATGGGAGGGATTACCGAAGGGGTGAAGGGGTGTGTGTGTTAGAAATATGCTGTCAAGACTTTTGTACTATACTTTATATTGCGCAGGTTATTTGTAAATTGGGTGTAGGCTTTGTCATCCCAACCTTATCTAGTTGGGATTCCCCCGTAATCCAACCAATCTGCCAACTCATCATTGGAGATCTAGCTCAGTTCTGATAGTGTGTGCGTGTGCATGTGTGTGTGGGGGGGGGGGGTGGGTGGGTGTGTGTGTATGTGTGCATGTGCATGCGTGTGCGGGGTGCCTGTGTGTGTGTAGGTGGCCGCGTGAATGAGTGTGAGCAAAAACAGCCGTTTTTTGTCTTGTTTTCATTGTTATTATTATTATTATTGTTATTATTATTATTATTATTATTATTATTATTATAATTATAATTATTATTATTACTTGTGAATAATCACCTTTAAAAAAATGGTACCGTAAAAAACGGTCGTTCAAAACGGTTCCAGGAGGTGTCTTCTGTTTAATGAACAAAACGGCCACTTTATGGGACCAAATTGAACCTGAGATTCAGTAGGATGAAGGGGACGGGCCCCTTCTTGCACATGTGTGGTTGTTGGCTTGATTGATAACGTATTTGACCTTGTTGTTGTTGTTTTTTTTTTTTTTTTTTTTTCCTTGGTGAACAGAGTTCTGTAACAAAAAACAGCCGGCATTTTGAACAATCACCGTAAAAAACGACTGTAAAAAACGGACTGGATTTTACGAAAACCCTGGGACGCGGGTGTGCACTGCCTGTCCAGCAGCACAGCCAGCGGACCTGTGGCAATACAGACAGCTGCACCGCGGCTATGCATACGGCTGCACCGCGGCTATGCAGACGGCTGCACCGCGGCTATGCAGACGGCTGCACCGCGGCTATGCAGACGGCTGCACCGCGGCTATGCAGACGGCTGCACCGCGGCTATGCAGACGGCTGCACCGCGGCTATGCAGACGGCTGCACTGCACTGTGGCAATCAAGATGCTAGAAGATCCACTACCTAAAGATCCGCAATCAAGCACCACAAAGATCCAGCCCACTCACTCACCACACGGCCGTCATGAGGCGCGTCTGCAGCGGGCCCTGGAAGTCGGGCGTGCGCTGCCGGTCCAGCATCATGGCGAGCAGCCCCGTGGTGAGGCAGATGGCGGCCGTGACCGCCCACATGGAGGCCGTGAACGGAGAGAAGACCATCCAGGGGTTGCTGTACGGCCGCGAGTAGCCCATCACGCTCAATCCGGATTGCTGGGAAGGCATGAGAAGCGGAGTGAAACGGAGGGGAGGGCAGTGGTAGAAGTAGTGTCTCAGAATATTCCTCTTATTGCCTAGTTGCAATGGCCCCAATCCAACCACATGCCACCACGTCACACACACCCACCTCACGTGTACCCACCTCACACGCACTTACGTCAGATGGGGTAGCACGTTCGGGGTAGGTGGTACCTGAATGGGGTAGGTGGTACCTGAATGGGGTAGGTGGTACCTGAATGGGGTAGGTGGTACCTGAATGGGGTAGGTGGTACCTGAATGGGGTAGGTGGTACCTGAATGGGGTAGGTGGTACCTGGATGGGGTAGGTGGTACCTGGATGGGGTAGGTGGTACCTGGATGGGGTAGGTGGTACCTGGATGGGGTAGGTGGTACCTGGATGGGGTAGGTGGTACCTGGATGGGGTAGGTGGTACCTGGATGGGGTAGGTGGTACCTGGATGGGGTAGGTGGTACCTGGATGGGGTAGGTGGTACCTGGATGGGGTAGGTGAAGAAGACGACTTTGCTCCGCGAGTCCAGCACTGTGATGTCCCCCACTGCTGCATCGTACGTCTGCCAGCCAGCACAGGTGAAGCACAGAGAAACATGGGACAGCACAGGGACATACAGGGCAGCACAGGGCAGCATGGCACAGGGAGCTGAGGCACCTCAACGACTTGTTCCACGAGTCCAACACTGTGATGTCCCCCACTGCTGCGTCGTACGTCTGCCAGGCAGGAGAGCAGTGCATACCAGGCCAGGGCAGCACACGAATGGACAGGGAAACACAAATGAACACAGGGAAACACAAATGAACACAGAGAAACGTAGGGCAGCACAGGGCATGCGGAGGAAAGAAAGAGGCGCACCTTGTTGGCGACAGCCAGCACCATCTGTGTGTAGCTGAGGTCCTTGTCACCATGTAAGGAGCACCCACTCACAGCCCAGAGCCAGACCTCGTGAGGACCTTCCCTCTTAAGCCGTAAGAGAGATCCTTACCTTGTTGGCGACAGCCAGCACCATCTGAGTGTAGCTGAGGTCCTTATCACCGTACAGCACAAACTCGTAGTCGAGCTTGTAGGGTAACCGCGTAACGGCCAGGCGGAACACCTCCACGCAGTAGCCTGAGAAGCGGCTGTTGCCCTCGCCCAGGGCGTCTGACACGTTCACATACTCCTTGTATTGCTGGCGGGAGGAGGGGAAGGGAGAGAGATCAGGGGCGAAGATATGGGGAGGAGGATGGGAGGGTAGGTATTAAGTTGGCTTGATATACAATACACCATGTCCTTACATGCTTACCCGGAAAAGAGTGGATTGCCTATAAGCACGCCTGTTGATAGAGATACCCTGGTGACTAAGCAACCTGTTGATACGCACATGTGCTGTTAAGGACACGTGGTGATATGGGCACGTGTGATAAGGACACTGTACTTGTTGTGATCTGCTTACCTGCACCATGCCACCATGCAAGCACCTGTTTATTCGGCACTGCGATTCGAAGGCGAGTCTTGGGGAATGATCCTGCTGGCACCTGGAGGAGACAGCAAGACACACGAGGAGACAGGGAGCAGGGGCGAGTGCGGGACAGGAGCAGGGGGGGGTGCGGGGGCAGGGGGGAGCAGGGGCACGGGAGCAGGGGCGAGTGCCGGGGCGGGGGCAGGGGCGGGGGCAGGGGCAGGGGCAGGGGCAGGGGCAGGGGCAGGGGCAGGGGCAGGGGCATGGTCAGGGGCAGGGGCAGGTATGCAAAATGAGGTTGGCAGAGGTTTGGAAGGAAGGAGCAGCGTTTGTGAATTGTAGGTTCTAAACCCAGAGTGTGCTACAGCGAGGAGGAGAGAGAAACGAGTGCCATCAGCCTGCGAGCGTTCTGATCCAGCACTCATTTGTTACAACGAATTACTCAGTGTGAACAAGAGTAACGAACAAGGCTGCGAGTAAAACTCAGTGTGTGACTCGCTCCCCGCTTCCCACTTGAGGCGCCTCAAAACTCGCTCCCCCTTATGACTCCTCCTCTTACCCTACCAGCGTGACTCCCTCCCCTTGCGATACCAATTCCCTCTACTTGCCCTACCAGTAGGACTCCCTCCCCCCTTCCCTCCTACCTGGGTGAGCCCTCCAGGGAAGATGATGGGAAGAGCATTGGGAGTCTGCGCGGCACAGCAGGGAGGCAACGGCACTGATTCACACAAGTTAGAACAGTCAATTAAGCAGGGAGACAACGGCACTTCACAGAATCACCAGGTAGATGTTCTCTGGAAACGTCAAGCATGCCGCCCTGCCGTGACCTGCTTTTGCTGATTTGTCCAAACGGGCCCTCATGTTGGGGTGAAAAACGGTGCGCTACTTGTTTCCTCATGCCTCCAAAGTAGGTAGAACATACTGAGCACGAACTATGCAGGTTGATCCTAACCTGTATAAACTGAAGTTAGGTTTCAAGCCTAAACTGTGATGTGAGCTGGAGCTTAGAAGTGAGCCTGGGCTCAACGTTGGGAAAGCAGGGGAAGGTGGGGAGGCTGGAGAGGGTGGGGGCTGAGCGGGAAGGCAGGAGAGGGCCGAGGGAGGGTGACTAACCTGTGTGCTGGGGGGGCCTGCGACAGGCGCTAGGCGCGGCGCAGGGGAAGCCGATGAAGGTGGGGAGGGTGGGGAGGGTCGAGAGGGTGGGTGGGAGGAAGGGTAGAGAACGACTAACCTGTGTGCTGGGGACTGCGACAGGCCCTGGGCGCGGAGCAGGGGAAGCGGTGGAAGGCGGGGCAGATTGGGGGGGTGGGCGGGAGGAGGAGGGGACGAGGCCGAGGGAGGAAGACCAGAGGGCCACTTCCATGGGGGCCCGTTTTTGGATGTTCAAAATGCGGATCTCGCTTTCTGCCAGGTCGCCATGTGGGGTTAGTGCGATCCTGAGAGGAGAGAGGAATGGGTGCAAACCAGTTTAGATTGTGAAAGGTTGAGGAGGAGGAGAGCAGGTGGGGGGAGGAGGAAGTGGGGACAAAAGGGGGCGACAGAATTGGAAATGAGGGAACTGCGGAGGAGAATAGGTGTGGGGGGTTGGGTCAGCGGAAAGTACAGTGAATGTGGACGCCTCTAGTGCGTATGAGGGTGGGTGGGAGAAGAAGAAGAGATGGGACAAGGAGGAGGAGTACGGAGACACAAGGATTTGGGCAAGCCCATGCCACTCTCCCACACTTCCTCCCCCTCACTCTCACATCCCTCCACCTCCCCCCCCGCACTCCTCTCCTCACATCCCCCCCCATCCCCCCACACACTCTCCTCGCAGACCCAGACTCCTCACACACACCCCCTTTTTCCTCAACACGCCTGACCTGCCCTGCAGCCCGTCGAAGCTGGTCTTGAGAAGAGCTTTCCGCAGTGCCGGTCCCACTGTAGTTGGGTTGGAGTATTGTGGGGGAGCATTGGAGCAGGCAGGCGGGAAAATATTATTCCGAGCTAAATTTTATCGGCGACAGGGAGTCAACACGGGAGGAAGGGCACGGAAGCATGGCAGCACGACAGCACGGCAGCACAGCAGCACAACAGATAGAGCAACGAGCGAAGCATGTGATCAGCAGAGTATAGTAGAGACTGAGTAGAGCAGAGTAGAGTAGAGTAGAGCAGAGCAGAGTAGAGTAGAGTAGAGTAGAGCAGAGTAGAGTAGAGCAGAGTAGAGTAGAGCAGAGCAGAGTAGAGTAGAGTAGAGTAGAGCAGAGTAGAGTAGAGCAGAGTAGAGTAGAGCAGAGCAGAGTAGAGTAGAGCAGAGTAGAGTAGCGCAGAGTAGAGTAGTGCAGAGTAGAGTAGAGCAGAGTAGAGTAGAGCAGAGTAGAGTAGAGCAGAGTAGAGTAGAGCAGAGTAGACTTGGGTAGAGTAGAGTAGAGCAGAGTAGAGTAGGGCAGAGTAGAGTAGAGCAGAGTAGAGTAGAGCAGAGTAGAGTAGAGCAGAGTAGAGTAGAGCAGACTGCTCTACTCTACTCTGCTCTACTCTGCTCTACTCTACTCTGCTCTACTATACTCTACTCTGCTCTACTCTACTCTGCTCTACTCCACTCTGCTCTACTCTACTCTGCTCTACTGTACTTTGCTCTACTCTGCTCTGCTCTACTCTACTCTGCTCTACTCTACTCTGCTCTGCTCTACTCTGCTCTACTCTGCTCTGCTCTGCTCTACTCCGCTCTACAGAGTAGAGCAGAGTAGAGTAGAGCAGAGCAGAGTAGAGCAGAGTAGAGTAGAGTAGAGCAGAGTAGAGTAGAGTAGAGCAGAGTAGAGTAGAGTAGAGTAGAGTAGAGTAGAGTAGAGCAGAGTAGAGTAGAGCAGAGTAGAGTAGAGCAGAGTAGAGTAGAGTAGAGTAGAGTAGAGCAGAGTAGTGTAGAGTAGAGCAGAGTAGAGTAGAGTAGAGGGGAGCACGCAGTATACTTGTGGAGGTGGATGGGCGCAGGGATCATGCGGAGAGGGCGGAGGAGGCAAACAAGCGATGCAGGGATCTTACGGATGATGGGGATGATGGGGATGATGCCAGGGTGCAACAGGCAGGGCGCGCTGGCGAGGCGCATCGGGCAAGCCGCACGGATGGAGCAAGGAGTACGAGTGAGACACAGCATACTTGCACTTTGTTGCAGGCGAGTGAGTGGTGGAGCAAGGGCATGGGGCAGGGCAGGACGCATGGGGCAAGGCGCAGCATACTTGCACTTTGTTGCAGGCGGGTGAGTGGTGGGGCAAGGGCATCCTGGGTGCCGTTGGGGAGGGACGGCAGCACCGGCAGCTCCAGCTGCTGGAATGCCCCCCCCTCCCCTTCTTGCTGCTGCCCTGCTTGCTGCTGCACTCTCTTTTGCTGCTGCCGCTCTTGCTGCGGGCTTATACTCTGCTGATGGGGGCTTATATTCCGCTGCTGCGTCTGCTTGAGTGCATGAGAGGAGGAGTTGGTCGATGCAGGAGGGGAGGGGTAGAGCAGAGAGTGGAGTGCCCGTGCAACGAGGGTGACAGCATCGTGGGACGAGAGCGCGTATGGGGATGGCGTCTGGCATGGGGGGAGGGAGGTGGGGGGAAAAGGGATTTAGAGGGAGGTGTGTGGTAGGGGATACAGTAACTGTCAGGAGCAGAATGGCAATACCTAAGCAGAGGAGCAAAGAACATAAAAAGCAAGATTCAGCTAGAAACAGGTTAGTTCATGAGTGGTGGCAATTCTTTGAAGTGTCTCGGTGGCAATTCTTTTTCAGCGGACATTAGTTCATGAAGGGCATAGGGCTTACCTCCATGGTGAGCCCAGGGTACTGTTAGTGAGGCATTGAGGTGCTACTGAAGAATCTCACACACTAGCTTATAACGAGCATAAGGTGTAGTGTACCTCTTTGGAGAGTCCAGGGTACTGCGAGGCATTGAGGTGCTTCCAGCGATCCAGGAAGGATGAGAGGTGTGGGGAGGAGGGCAAGTGGGTGGTTGTGATGATTAGGCCCTGTGATCGAAGGGTGAGAGAGCGGTGGAGTGGGGTTGAGAGAGGCGAGGAGAGAGGGAGAGGAGAACATGCAACTGGCTGTGATGATGAGGCCCTGGAAGAGAGGAGAGAGGGGTGGGGTGGGGTTGAGAGAGGCGAGACGAGTCAGAGAAGAGGAGAGAAGAGGAGAGGAGAGGAGAGGAGAGGAGATGCGATGAGATGAGATGAAATGAGATGAGATGAGATGAGATGAGATGAGATGAGATGAGATGAGATGAGATGAGATGAGATGAGATGAGATGAGATGAGATGAGATGAGATGAGATGAGATGAGATGAGATGAGATGAGATGAGATGAGATGAGATGAGATGAGATGAGATGAGATGAGATGAGATGAGATGAGATGAGATGAGATGAGATGAGATGAGATGAGATGAGATGAGATGAGAGGAGAGGAGAGGAGAGGAGAGGAGAGGAGAGGAGAGGAGAGGAGAGGAGAGGAGAGGAAAGGGGAGAAGAGGGGAGGAAAGAGAAGAGGAGAGGAGAGGAAGAGGGAGGAGAGAAGAGGAGATGAGAGAAGAGGAGAGGAGAGGAGAGAGGATAAGTGGCGAGGAGGGCAGAGAAAATGCGGGCCTTCCAAGCCACCAAACACTCGAAACATAGCAAACTTACCTACAATCCTCTTATTCATCCACATCACCACTCTGCACTCTCAAGACACACTCACATCATCCCACTCACACCAGCACCGCAATCACACCAGCACCACAGCCACACCAGCACCCCACTCGCACCAGCACCACAGCCACACCAGCACCCCACTCGCACCAGCACCACAGCCACACCAGCACCCCACTTGCACCAGCACCACAGCCACACCAGCACCCCACTCGCACCAGCACCACTGCCACACCAGCACCCCACTCGCACCAGCACCACTGCCACACCAGCACCCCACTCGCACCAGCACCACTGCCACACCAGCACCCCACTCGCACCAGCACCACTGCCACACCAGCACCCCACTCGCACCAGCACCACTGCCACACCAGCACCCCAATCGCACCAGCACCACTGCGCACTCACATCCACACAGTGCCTGGACGTGGCACTCATGTCAGCTGCGGCCTCAGAGTTAACCTTTGAGTCGACTCAAAAGTCAACCCAGCACCACACTTACACCACCACCACCACTCTCCACTCACAATCACCACTCTGCACCAGAGTCCCAGCACCACTCTCCACTCACATCCAAGTGTTGGTTGAACGTGAAACTCATGGCAGCTGCTGCATCCGAGGCGATCCAAACGCTGCTCCGCGCATACAGCCGCAACTTCCTGGCTGATAGGGGGTGATGGTGAAGAGTGAGGATGAGGGTGAAGGTGGGAGCGTAAACAGGGAGGTTGAGAGCATGAACGACTCGGGCCGCATGACAGCAATTTTCACTTGGACAGCCAGAAAGGCTGAGCTCAACTTTTGAGACGTCTCAAAAGTCGGTGAGGTTGAGAGCATGAACGACTCGGGCCGCGTGACAGCGATTTTCACTTGGACAGCCAGAAAGGCTGAGCTCAATTTTTGAGACGTCTCAAAAGTCGGTGAGGTTGAGAGCATGAACGACTCAGGCCGCGTGACAGCGATTTTCACTTGGACAGCCAGAAAGGCTGAGCTCAACTTTTGAGACGTCTCAAAAGTCGGTGAGGTTGATTGAGAGCATGAACGACTCGGGCCGCATGACAGAGATTTTCACTTGGACAGCCAGAAAGGCTGAGCTCAACTTTTGAGACGTCTCAAAAGTCGGTGAGATTGAGAGCATGAACGACTCAGGCCGCGTGACAGCGATTTTCACTTGGACAGCCAGAAAGGCTGAGCTCAACTTTTGAGACGTCTCAAAAGTCGGTGAGGTTGAGAGCATGAACGACTCGGGCCGCATGACAGCGATTTTCACTTGGACAGCCAGAGAGGCTGAGCTCAACTTTTGAGACGTCTCAAAAGTCGGTGAGGTTGAGAGCATGAACGACTCGGGCCGCATGACAGCGATTTTCAAACCTGTTCTCTTGTCTTGTTTGCCTCATATAGTGGATAACGTTACCGCAACAAGGCTACGCTAGCTAGGTGACTACGCCACTGTGGGCAGCCATCGTGTGGGAGAGTAAACTTCTCACAAGACGAGAGAAGCAGATAGGCAGTATGGACTGCCATGAGCTGCGGTGGCAGCGGACGTACTCGCGGCGGGAGATACCGACGTCGCGAAGGATGCGCTCAAAGGAGCGGGGAAGATTGCCAGGTCGCTCGCCTGGCAGAGAGGCGGATCGGGCGGATTGGATGGCGACCAGTGACGGACTGCACAGTGAAGGCGAGCTCGGTCTGCAGATGAGATCGGCGCCAGGACCCCAGCCGTCGAAGAGCGATCCCTGGGATCTGGCAAGAGGCCAGCAGGGCGCGGGAGTAAGGCGTCAGGAGGATGCCGATGAGACGGACTCGCTGATGTTGGCAAAGGAGGCCGACGGCGAGGAGTTGGCGGAGGATGATCCCATGGACGAGGAAGAAGATCACTCGCCGGGCGACATGCGCAAGGCAGGCGAGAGGCGTCGTGGAGAAAAACGTGAAGAATGCGGAGAGGCGACGGGATTAAATCGCTCGACAGAAGAAGTGTGTGGGAGTGGCGCAAGGCGACGCGGGAGCGTGGAGGCAGATGGCGCGACCGACGAAATGGGTGGGGGCGGCGCGAAACGCCAGGGGAACCGCGCGGATGCAGATCGCGCACCAGCGGAGGTGCGCGGGAGTCAAGCGAGGCGCAGCAGGAGCAAAGCAGCTGAGCCCTGGTCAAGGGAGCGAGGGGAGGAGGAGAAGAGGCATGCTGCACCAGCAGGAGTGTATCGTTCGCCCGAGCCAGGACAAGGCCGTGCGGGCAGGAGGCGTATGGCGATGGGAGAAGGGAGATCGCTGGAATGGTCAGAAGAGGAGGACGACGAGGATTACGAAGGAAAGCGCGTTCAGCACTCGCCAGCAAGGAGGTGGCGGCCAGCGGAGAAGGCGCGAGGCAGGGGTAGCATACGATCGCCACCCAGCGCCTCAAGGGAACAGGCGGGAGCGCGCCGTGAGAAAGCAGAAGAACACCTGTGGGCAGAGAGAAGGGCTGCAAAGGAAACAAGCGAAAAGCAAGAAGGTGGCCCGAGAGAGAGAGCCGTGAGAGGAGGGGCGAAGGAGAGCGATACCAAGGGGGTGAAGAGGCAGGAAGAAAAGGGGAAACAGGGAAACGGGATCAGGAACGCCGAGGCTGGGAAGAGTGTGGAGATTATGAGGAAAGAGACAGGTGGGACTCACCGGAAAGAGGAAGGGAGTGGAGGCGCGAGGAGGACTGGCGAGGCAAGAGAGAAGGTGTGCGGACACCAGAAGTCTCGAGGGCAGCAGAGAAGGAGCGACAGCGAGAGGACAGAGTGCGGCAGTACCAGGAGCGGTCCCCTGCAAGGGGAGAGAAGCGTCGGGAAGATGCAGAGAGGCGCAGGGGGGAGCCCTAGCCCGATGGGCCCGAGGAGGCCGGGGCGTCACGGCGTAGGATCTGCTAGAGCAAGAGCAGCTAGGGAGGGAATAGAGCGAGTGCTGTATGGAACGAGCACGGGCAGCAGGGGAGAAAGGGAAAGGATGAGAGGGGTTATGATGTCTGAGCAAGGAGGGACGGAGAGCTGGGAAACAGGGAAGTGGGGGGCAACAGCACAGCCGCGAGTGGAGGTGCCAGTACGCTTCACGGGAAACGAGAAAACCGGCCCAAGTCTGAAGAACTATTTGATGCAGATCAGCAATGTTAAATACCGATGTGGCAGAAGCGGGATGGACCCGATTGAGTTTTTTCTGAGCCTGCCAAGCACGTTGGGAGGGGAAGCAGAGACTTTGTATCGCATGAAGATGGGTGAATGGCTGTGAAGGGCAGAAGAGGATGACGAGGACCCGACGGTACTGTTCCTGGAGCGACTAAGGAAGCAGTTCCCTTGGCATACGGCAGCGCGCATCAGGGAATTCCAGGAGTTTAGGCGGAGGGACGAGGAGTCACTGCTGACATACTACGGACGGTTAATGAACCTGGCGGAAGACGTGGTGTGCACGGACAGCAGCATGATCATTAGCAAGTTTCTGAATGGTTTAGACAAGGGATTGGCAGGAGGGTTGAGAATATGAGCTAGGAGCAGATGCAACACCAGAGGTGGTATTCGGGTTAGCGGAAAGGGTGGAGCTGGCGCAGAGGAAGTATGAGGTATACCTGTCGAGGACGATAGAGAAGAAGAGTCCTACCTGGGCAGCGGCGATGATACCAGGGGAGGGAGCAGGAGAAGAGAGCAGGCCGGAGAAAAGGGCAGTGACACGCACCTGTTACCGGTGTGGACAGCCGGGGCACATAAGGATGCACTGCAAAAACTGCGATGCATGTGGGAAGCCAGGGCACCGCCGAAGGGACTGCCCGGAGGCACCGGCATGTAAGGAGTGCGGAGAAAGGGGGCATGAAGCAAGGGGATGCGATAAAGGGGCAGGCGGAAGGAAAGGGTCAGCAGAGGAGATCGAGAGCCAGATAAGGCAGTTGCGGGCGCAGCTGCAGGCCCTGGGAGGGAGTAAGGAGAAAGAGGCTGGGCTGTACGCGAGGGAAGAAGGAGCAGAAGAGGAGGAAGGGCAGGAGCCAGAGTACACATGCCTGGCGTTACGTAGCCGTGAGGGACTGGGGCTGCGCAGTGGGGGCAGAGACGGAAGGAAAGGGCGGGAGCTGAGAGGAAGGACAGAGAGGCAGGCGGGGTTGTATGCAAGTGAGGAAGAAGAGAAGGAGGAAGGGGAGCAGGCGCCAGAATATTCCTGTGCGGTGCTGTGTAGCAGTGACGCCATGGGGCTGCGCTGTGGGGGCAGGGACAGAGGAAAGGAGCGAGCCACGAAGGTGAGGGCATGGGCAGTGGCAGAAGGGGAAGAGAAGGGCGAGGAGAAGGAGGCAGGAGTGTGCGAATTAGTAGCAGCAGACACTGAAGGGAAGGATGAGAAGGTGAGAAAATGGGCAGCAACAGAAGGGGAAGGGAAGAATGAGAGAGAGGGGACCTGGGCGTGCGTACCAGTAGCAGCGGAAGCAGAGGAGAAGGACGAGCAGGTGGTGCAGGAGTGGGTGTAATGGCAGCAGTAGAAGTAGAGGAGAGGGACGAAGAGGCGGGGGCAAGGGCGTGTGTACCAGCAGCAGAAGAAGCGGAAGGGAAGGCGAGAAGGAGGGAGCGGTGAAGAAAGGAGGGAAGACGGGGCTGAGCAGTACAGACATGGGAGGGAATGGTTGGCAGCCATCGCTGAAGACAGCAGAGTTGTTCGGGGAAATCGGGGCAGGGGCGAAGACTGGTGTGACGATGAAGGATTGGATGCAAGCGCAGGGAAACAAGCTGGCGGAGCGGCATGTGAGGAAGCTGCGGGGAGGAAGGCCAGAGCTGCTGGGGGAAGCAGAGCGGGAGAGTAAGGAAGTGGGGGCATGGGAGCCCCTAGCAACAGGGGAAAAGGTAGACCATACAATGGAAGAGGCGGAGAGCCGGGCGGCATGGGAGCGAGCTAAGGCAGCGGAATACTTGCAGGAGGTGATACCGGTGGCGGTGGACGACCTACATACCGTGCAGTTGAGGGATGCGTGCTGCTGTGAGAAGTGGCAGCAGCAGGAAGGCAAGGGGATAAAGGCGGCTATAGAGGTGGGACGGGAAGAGAGGGGCAAAGAAGGATACACTAGCTGTGGAATAGGGAAGAGTGAAGGGGAGGGCGCAAGCAGTGCGAGGCGTGGGAGTGCTAGTGTCGGAGAAGAAGAAGGGAGAACAGACCGGGGACCACCAGACCCGCACGGCAGGACTGAAGAGCAGCTGTCCTCAGCTGAGAGTCCTGTGACTCGCGCCCGAGCAGCTCGAGCTAGGGATGAGCAAGTGGCGAACACGAACGTGTTCGTGTTCGCCCCTACACGAACACCTTCGTTTGCCGAACCGAACACTGTTCGGTTCGGCGAACACTTTGAGCAAAAAATGGTGTTCGCCGTTCGCCTGTGAAGGCGAGTTCGGGCGAACCTCGAACACTGTTCGTGTTCGTCGCGGGCAAATTGCAGCAGCGGCCCGAACACGAACGTGTTCGGGCGAACATCGAACACTGTTCGGCGAACATTTTAAGCCAAAAAAAAATACCTGTTCGGTTCGCGTTCGTTTTTTTGCTCAACCCTAGCTCGAGCACGAGCACAGGAGGGGGCAGGTAGTGGCTGAGAACGCAGAAGGGAACAGGGTAACAGGAGTGGGGACAGCACAAGGTGGGGAAAGGCCAGAATAAGAAGGAAGGGAAGAAGGTGAGGACACAAGGCAGGGAAGAGGCAGGGGCAAGGGAGGAGTGAGGAAGGAGAAGGGAAGAACTCCCACAACCAGGGACGCCATGTGCTCGTGAATGGCCTCGTCTGTGGCTGACATGTGAGACATGTAGAAAACTATCTGTTCTGCGCCACCCACCAGCTTCAACAACGGTAGAGAAGACAGTGGCGGAGGCGTGCAGCACGTAGACCGCCACGTCTAGAGGCACCAGGGAGGATATGTAGTCGTGAATGGCCTCGTCTGTGGCTGACCGCGGGATGGCCACCCGCACTGCCACATCCGCCTCCGCCTGTTTTGGAAAGGGCAAGAGAAGGCACCCATTGCACAGCACGACACAGCACCACACAGCACCACACAGTACCACACAGCACAGAAAAGCACTTCAGGGAGGACATGTAGCCGTGAATGGCCTCGTCTGTGGCTGACAGTGGCATGGTCGCCTGCACTGCCACATCCGCATCCGCCTGTTTTGGTAAAGGCAAGGTAAGCCATTGCACAGAATAGCTTGGAATCGGCCGGGGCAAGGTGAGAAATCATGAGAGGGGGGACGGAAGCGTGTACACAACATATGCTTCCGCGTTGGCAAGGCTGCATGCGTGGCTACTCTTGAGTCGACTCGAGGTGACTTTTCAGTCGACTCAAAAGTGACATCATGAGAGGGGGGGACGGAAGCATGTACACAAGTCATGCTTCCGCGTTGGCAAGGCTGCATGTGTGGCTGGCGGCGGCATGGCCACCTGCACTGTTTGGGTTTAGGGTTTCATGTCGCTGCCGCAAGCCTCGCATTGAGATGTCTCAGCAGCATCAAGGAGGGAGGAATGGATTGACACACAGCAAGTCCATATTTAAGGTTTCAAGGGTTCAATGTTACCAAACGCCGCACAACTTATGGAACGCCTCTAACCAAGGAGGAATGAGCACAAAAAGGGGGGGGAGGGGGGAGGGGGGGGGAGGGAGGAGGGTTGTGTAGGTGGCGCTAGGCGAATCATGGAATCGGGAGGAAGTGGGATAGGAGAATACTGGAAAAAGAACAATGGAGCAGTAAAACCTTTCCTCTCTCGTCCATCCCTGTGACTCACACGGATGGTGATAAGCTGTGAGGTGAGTGCAGCCACTCCATTGCGGCCGAAGCGGTCGTCGCTGTAAATGAGCGCCACTTGCTGCCACTTGTAGTGCTTGATCAGCTCTGATTGGTTGAGACGCGGGGGTGATGGGGGTGGGGAGGAGGGAGGAGGATTTGGTTTCGGCTTGATCAATAGTCCCGACGATTGTTGCTGTGGATAAAATACAAACACGCGTGTTGCTTGCCGCTACTGGCGCCTGGCATCTTGTACGTACCTGCCTGCCACCACCTAATGGGGTGAGCTTCATCCCCACCTGCCATGTGCTCTGCACCTGCCATGTGCTCTGCACCTGCCATGTGCTCTGCACCTGCCATGTGCTCTGCACCTGCCATGTGCTCTGCACCTGCCATGTGCTCTGCACCTGCCTGCCATCTGTCACTCGCTCACCTGCCATGGCGGCCATCTGCACGCCGCTACTTGCACCTGGCATCTAGTACCCCACCTGGCATCTGGCACGCTTCATCCCCACCTGGAATCTGGCACGCTTCATCCCCACCTGCCATGGCGGCCATCTGCACGCCATCGCTGGCCACGGTGCGCATGAAGAAGGGGCGGGTGGCGCCCTGAGTGAGCTGCACGTCCGTTGCTGATGCCGATATGAACGGCACCTGGCGGAGGGGAACAAGGGGGAACAGGACGGGGGAGGGAAAGGAGGTCGAAGGAAGAGAGGGGGGTGGGGGTGGGGAGGAAGTGGGGGGGCTACGGATGGCGGGAAGGAAGGGGGGAAGTGCGCAGAATAAGGGGCGGGTGGCACCCTGAGTGAGCTGCACGTCCGTTGCTGATGCGGATATGAATTTGCACCTGTGGGGGGGGAACGAGGGGTCACAGGACGAGGAGGGGGGGGGGGGGAGTAGCATTAAGTATTTTTATGCGCTTATAGGTACCTGATCAATCAACGAGACAAAGGGAGAGTCTGGGTGGCATTGGTTGCCTGCTGTGTTACCTGGGTTGCCGCTGCAATTGGGCTGAATCGGGCGGCCTGGTCAGATGTGTGCGGGCCAATCACAGCCACCGGATGGTTCTCGAGCAGTCCAAACGCTGCCACGTGGAGGCAGGAGATGAAGACACGTGCAGATGAGGGAGAAGAAGGAATGCGGGTAGAGGGAATGGGGGAAAGACAATAAGGAATGGGAGAGGAGGGAGGGATTCAGCAAGCGCAGCAGAGTGAAATGACGGAGAAGCGAGCAGAGAAAAGGGAAGACAGGGAGGCAGTCCTTGGGGTGGGGGGAAAACCGTGAGGGGGAGGTTGTGGGGGGGAAGGGGACGAGAAGGGGCAGTGGGCGGGAGGGGAAGGGTGTTGACGGTAAATGGCCCCGTCCTCGCTTGGGCGAAGCAGACCTTGCAGTCGGGTGCGCGGGAGATGTAGCCGGCTGCCCGCAGACCGAGCGGGACATCTGTGCGGGTCGTTGCTGACTAGGGCATGCAGGTCGACGGAGTTGGTCGACCTGCACGGGACCTCTGCGAAGTTGCTTACGATGGGAAGTCCGCGGCCAACTTCAACTGGCATGGTCGACGAGGGAATTCGTTGACCTGTGGGGACGTCGACTTGGTAAAGGTCTTCGGGTGGTGTCAATCTGTGGTCGACCGAGTTACCTAGTCGACAAGGCTCCGCGGAGGTGTGTGATCGTCGTCAAGGTTGTTGTGGCGAAGTCGACCAACACGACAGCACTTGGTCGACGTAGTTCATCAGGCACAACCGTAGGCATGTGGCCAACTTGGCATGTGGCCAACTTGGCATCTGGGTGATATGCGTGACAGTGCACGTCATGCTCAACCGCCTACAAACACCTGCGAATTAGGTGTACGCATGTGTTGTAACCTGCGTTTGCAACGCTGGCAGACCACCCTGCTGCAGCATTGGCAAGCCGCCTTGGTGCAGCGCTGACAAGCCACCGACTTGCTACGTTGGCAAGCCACCTTTCTACAGCGTTGGCGCGATGTCAACTTGCAGTGCTGGCAGGCCGCCAAATTTGATGAGCTTGCGGTCGACAAGCCTGACTGCTAGGCTGCCTTGCATATTTTGTAGTCATTGTAGCCATTGCAATTTTCATCATTATTCTCAACTTTTTCTAGTGAAACTCTTGATGTTTTTGCCCTATGAACACACAAGTGTCTAGAGAACACGAACAAACGCTACGATCACTCTTACCACCCCTGTTTTCTCCCGTAGTCCAGCTGTTGGTGTTGAGTGACTCTCCGCAGAGGGGAGGGGAGGGTCCGCGAGCTGGCTAGCAATGAAGAGGATGTGGGATTGGGGAAGGAAACATGGGGAGAGGAAGCAGCGTGGCGGGGGAGGGGACGAGAAGGGGACGGTGGGCGGGAGGGGAAGGGGAATACAGCATACCTGCGAGCTGACTACCGAAAGAGGCGATGGAGTAGTTTTGCACCGTCAGATGTAGCACGTGGTTTGGCAGGATCCTGGGATCGCCGTTAATTTCCTCCACTGCCATGACAGAGGCTGGCCCGGGAAACGGGGAAGGAGAGGAGTGGAGGAGAAGAAAACGAGAGGAGAGGAAGTGGGAAGAGGAGAAGGAAATGGGACGAGAGAAAGAAGGGAAAAAGGATGAAAAGACAAGGAGAAAGAGCGGATGGGAGAAGTAAGGGGAGGAGGATTTGGCGGCAAGAGCGGCGTTGGAGCGCGCAGCACAAGCTTTGAGGTGTCTCGAAAATTGGATGAAAAGGAAGCTTGGTGGACGGAAGGAGGGAGGAGGGAGGAGGGAAGAGGGAGGTGGGAGGGACGCATTGCCAGGCACGAGAGGCGAGGAATGGAGGGCGCACCAGGCCATATCAGCGTTGCTTAAATTTTGGGGGCCCTCAAAAGTAGGAGCAGCGTACCGGCCAGCATGTCGACTCCCCCGGGCATGTCAGGGGCGAACAAGCATCCCACCGTCAGCACCGTCCCGCTCTTGCTCTTCATCAATCCTCTTCCCGCCACCGCCTTACTCGTCCGCGCGTCTTTCTTCGTCCCGCCGTTGCTCGCCAGACTTCTCACCGCCGGTCTCGCGTTCGTATTCGCATCGTGGTCGTTGAAGCCAGAGCTGTTGTTGCTCGAATCGTGATCGTCGACGCTAGAGCTGATGTTCGCGTTACTGAGTAATACTCGGTTCCCATCAGAGTTAGCGGTCAGATTGAAGTCTGCGTTTTCATCTGAATCAGCGTTAGCGTCAAGATGAAAGTTAGCGCTGAAATCAGAGATAGCAGAGTGTGTTACGTCCGTCGCAACTCGCTCTGGAACGTCCCATCCGTCGGTCAGATTAGAAGTACCTACATTGTTTGAGAAGTTAGCATACTGAAACGTCCTGTACTCTCCAGCTTTCGCCCGTGAACCTGTCGCGACGGCGCTTCCCGCACTCTCTGTACGAAGCTCCACTATAACGAACAGTAGCGCGAGAATGAAAGCCCGAGAGGAAGCTTCGCGGAGTCGACGAGGCGAAAGATGATTACACCCATCCGGTGCTGCCGCAGAAATAGTAGAATTCCTGTGGGTATGCATTCCGTAATACCGACGCAATCTCGGTGCGTATTGGCCAATGTGACTGACGTCCCACTCTGTCCCACGCCACGCACGCTACCGTTATTACAGCTCCATATCGGAGTCATTGGATTGGAAGGAACAAGAAATTTACACAAGATGCAGCATCCCCTGTGACTTGTGAAGCATTGGTAAGGCGTTGTGAAGCACAGGTAAGTCGTTGTGAGGTGGAAGCAAGGCTTGGCAAGAACCTTTGTCACCGTCAGGCGCCCCAGGAAGTCAGGAAGGTTTACCCGATGCCTGTTTTTCAGATATTGTTTTACGTCACCTTACTGAAATTGACTTCGACGTTCATACCACCCTGACACGGCTTGACATGAATCTTCAGCCCTGCCGAATCCGACCCTAAACACTTTTGACCCTGCTAAAAAGTCCTCTAGAGTCCAGCTCTTTTGTTCTCGAAATAGGCTAAGCACGCTTGAATCTGGATTGACACTGAAACTTCCGAAAAATCGGCGAGTCACCGAAACGCTATAAACTCAGTGAGTCACTGAAACACACTGAAAATTTGCCGAAGTCACTGAGAGACACTAGACATTTGTCTAGGTCACCGAAGCACTTTGGAAATTCGGCACCGAACACCACTGGGAATTCGTCAAGCAAGCCAAACTAGAAGTTGACCCTACCTTCCCCCCAATCACTCCCTAGCCTACACCCCCTCCCCTATGGTATAAGTTCTCAACTCTTCGAGAACATTGCGCACCTCTCCCCTTGCGTCCTCTTCAGCTCCATCAGTTTTCCAAACCTCCACTGACTCTGGTTTAATTCACACACACAAAAAACTCTTCGGAGCTAGAAGTGTTACGGAAATACTTCCTTCCATTCCCGATAAGGGAAGAGAAATCCTGTAATTTCTTGAGTATGCCGTGCTTGGAACACTGTATTGGCAGGGTGAATGCTGGCCACAATTGGTTCTTGGAAGGGTTCCCCAAAACACATCGAGAGCCCTGGTCAGAGTGTTGTTAGCTTTCGGCAAAGGCAACGGCCTGAGGTCGGGGTACACCTGGCGAATCCAAGATCGCTACAACCAGTACTCGTTTCAATATTATTTGGATTTTTTACACAGTCATTCGCTCTATTGTCAAGCTGGCTGTACTGACATCAATGCGTCCAAAACGGTCCCACCAGAACATAGCATATAAGCACATTACCCCGTACTAAACCGTAGGCATTAGCGATGTTTCTTTCGTAGACCGTTGTGTGTTGGTCGTCTGGAGAACATTTGCCCACCACCAACCTCGGGTTCGCTTCCAAGCACCAGCCCGCTGAATCTAAGAGCGTATTCATGGCCCGCGTCAGACTTCAGGTCAAAAGCCCTTAGTCTCCAATTTTGCTCATCCGAACTCGGATTTGCCTCACAAACGAGCCACTTCGGGTTTTCCGAGCCTCCACTTCGGGTCTGACCTGACGTCTGACACGGGCTAAGAATAAACCCTAAGCGTGCGCACTGATTGTAGCGAGGGCTCTTGATTGTCAGAACATCAAGAAACAATGTGTAAGACCAGGTACACATGATTCCCGCAAAACGGCCCACTTCCAACACGCCTACAGACAGCCGACAGGAGCAGCAGTCAACATTCACAGCGAACGGACCACGGCCTACACGCCCATGTTAAAGCCCCCAAAACTCTGACCGCGAATAAGTTAGCCAATTTTTTTTATGCAAAACACTCGAGGCTACCCGTAAAATTGGAACTGTAGTTTAAATTGTAACCACACTCCTAGGAAGACGCCCAATTTGCCCCTGATTGACGCGAGTGCGAGACAGGAGCAAAATGAAAGATGGGGAAGTGGAGCGAAAGGGGCATCATGTGTAGCCGGGAGGCATCAATTGAAACGAGTTTTGACGTTCTAAATTGGAACTGTACTGTATTTTCACACCCCCCTTTTTCACACCCCCTTGTCGTCACCTGGGCCAGGGTCCCTGGTTTTGAGGCAAGGTGCAGACGTGGTCGGTTAATAGAACAAGCGGCCGCCCTACTCCGTGGGGTGTGAAATTGGCGCGGGCTAGGTGACATATGCAACTGGCAACCCTTGTTGTTTACGTGGGCCCAATCGATTCTGATCGGCTCTGAGCTGATCGGGTCGAATCTGATCGGGTGTCTTTTCCCCTCGGGATACAGTCGGTGCCCATTTCGAGAACACCAGGTAAGCGGGCGGCATGTGCGCAAAAAGAGTTTTGGCTCTTCGCCATGTTCGCCCTCGTCGCCACGGGCAAAAATGTGACAGTAACATGAAATTGCAACGTGAATCGAGTTAAGGGCTTAAGTGTTGTAACCAGGTTAACTTCTCTGATGACGGGCAACCGTTGTTGTTTATGTACTGTAGATGTTTTTCTTCCTCAACTTGGTGACTGTAGCCCGAAATCGGCACAATGGTCAATTTAGTCACTCACAGGCAAAACGTTCGCGAGTGACTAAATTTCTAATTCTGCGGGCAAATGTTTCGTGATAGGCTGAGAATCGATTGTAGTACCCGGAAGAATGTTGGCGAACTGGAAAATTCTTGTCGAGCTAAGCATTTCTTGGTAGTAATAACAGGACATTTGAGTTTCGGAAAAAATCGAGCAAAATGTTTACTGTACGAAAACCGCGTCTGGACTAAAACTGTTTCGATCCGATCACCAAGGGAACTGAGGATGAGGATGAGGGTGAGGACCGAGCCTGAAAGAAATTACGTCAAACAACTTGCCAAGCTCTACAGTATTACAGCTGTACAAACAGCGTCGACAGCTGTACAAACGGACACTGGAGTGCATAGTCAACGCCCCACGTGGAGCATAAAAAACAACCAGCCTCACCGTAGGGATCAAGATGCCCCATCATAACTGCACACTGAACCGCGTAGGAATGCTACTGATTCTTGCACACTGAATTGCACATGGTCCGCGGTATTTTCACACCCTCCAATTTCACACCTCTATGTATTCGTTCCTGATTTGTCCGGAAATTGAGGGTTGTTTCGAACAGTTTGGTTTTAAGTAATTAACGATTCAGACTCCGCTTAAGAGTCAGCGGGATATTAAATAGATGGTCACAGCGAAAAATCCAGTCTTTACGTTGCGGTCACAAAGTTACGCTTTCACAGCATCGACACTTTACAATGCCACGGATAGCCTCTAGTTCCTTGGGTGTCTGATCTCCAAAGCCAAAAACCGTTCAAATGGGCTTTAGCCAAGCTGACGGGGTGTGAAATTGGCGCGGGCTAGGTGTACACCCCCTGATCGCACCCGGGTGGCAGGACACAAGTACACCATAACCGCGTCACGGGATAATTGTATAGGACCAGCCCAAAGACTTTTACAGTGTCAATACAATGACTTCATACTCATGAGGTCTCATGTTTCCATCCTCATGGGGAATTAAATCACCCAACACACCACTCCCTCACTGCGTTACTTCACATTTCAGGACAAAATATGTCCCCCACACCACCCCCTGAAGCCATGAATGCGGCTACGCCTCTCTAATAGTGTTAATAACGTTAACTAGTATATTTACATAATTGTAAGGTCATAAGAAAATTGCACTTCAAATACTGCCATGCGTAGTAGCAAGTTAAGAAGCAAATGGAAGGAGAGGTAAAAAATCAAGGATCGCATATCACACATATGCCCTCTTCTCTAATCTCCGACTTTCTCACCCGAGAGCAAGCATCCCTCACATCACCGCAGTCTCACTCACACGGCATCCTGGCCTCACCTTTCTTGTGCAATCCTTGTCCGCACCTGTGTGTTGGTCTTCATGAGAGCAGCAGCTTTCACTCTCCTCCGGGCCCGTGGCGAGTACTGCACCTGCACCTTCCACGACGCTTGCTGCCGCCGCGCCATCACTGACACAGGCCGCCGCTGCCCAGGTGGCCGCTCAGGTGGACGCTCAGGTGGTGGGTGGCCAGTTGGAAGACCAGGTGAATGGCCACTAAGACATTGACCAATCAGGGCGTTGCCGATTGGGCCTTGAGTAGGTGGGATGGATGTTGGAGGCATGGGATGGTCCGAAGAGGGATGAATGTGAGCTTGAGCGGGGGGTTTTGGAGGCAGTTGCTGTGTGGGGTGACTGGACTTGCAGGAAGGTGGGATGTTGCTTGTGCTTGTTCCTGCACTTGATGGTCTCCTGGATGCTGCACCTGGTCCTGCACCAGATGCCCCATGGAATGATGCATGTGATGGTGCACGTGATGGTGCATGTGATGGTGCACGTGATGGTGCATGTGATGGTGCGCGTGATGATGCATGTGACGGTGCGCGTGATGGTGCATGTGATGGTGCGCGTGATGCAGCATGGGATCGTGCATATGCTGAGACATGCAACGGTGCAAACGACACCGATCGAGCAGTGCCACAAAGAGCGGCCTTTCGTTGCAGCCCTGATGGGCTTTCAGAGGAGATCGAAGATGCAGGTGATGGAAAGCCGTGAGCAGAAGAGGCAGGTGAGGCAAGGCTGTGAGCAGAAGAGGCAGGTGAGGCAAGGCTGTGAGCAGAAGAGGCAGGTGAGGCAAGGCTGTGAGCAGAAGAGGCAGAGGCCGATCGGAACTCAAATGCTGTGGTGCTCTGCTGTGGTTGAGCGTTGTAGGCCGACAGGTGCCTCTCCCTGCTCCATTCCTTGCCCTGCCATAGGAAAACCAGGGAAGAACGGAAAGAAAGAAAGAAGGAAACAGGAAGAGCGAAATGAAACAGGGGACCTCAAACGAAACACACTAAAGTCAGCAGCTTCAGGAGCAGCCCTCTACTCGAGGTTTGGATGCTAATAGCCTGGCGAATCAATGGACAGAATGAGATTCTTTTAATGACATTGTGAACTCACCTTGTAAAAATTATCCAAAAGGCTGCTTTGAGTTCGAGGCACCTCGAATGACCTTGGGAACTCACCTTGTGAAATTTATCCACAAGGCTGTCCACCTTGGTGTGAAAGGACTCCATTCTTGGCAAGTCAATGGAGCCCAGCGACGGCAGGCTGGAAAAGGCCGGCAGAGTGGACGCGGGCGGCAGAGCGGGGAGTTCAAATGGCGGCCGCGTGGGGACCGTAGAGGAGGGCAGAGAGCGGTTTGTGGGGAAAGTGTTTTCAGCAGAGGGCAGACGGGGGACGATTGAAGTCAGCCTGGGAAGTTTCAACATCCGAGAGGCTGCGCTTGAGTTGGTGCCACTGCTTGGCTGGGAGGCGAGGCTTGAATGGTTGCTTCTGCTCGGGCTGATAGCAGTGCTGGTGGCAAGGCTGGTGCAGGCGTGAGTATCAAAATGGGAGGGTGTGAGATGCTCCTTGTCCCTGCTGCCTTGCTCCTCTCCTCCAGCCGCCTCCTTCCCTCCTGCTTGCTCGTTAATAGCCACCCCATCTCTGTAGGATACTGGCTCTCTGTGAGAAGTTCCACTGGCATGTGCTGCCCTCTCTCTGCTCAACCCATCTGCAGCGCTCTCATCTTCTTGCCCGTCGTGAGATCCTCGCCTTCTCTTGCTGCCCAGGGATGACTCTGATGCACGGGAGAGGACGGGCTGTGGGATTCTTGGTGGTCTGCTGCTGGACCCTGCTGCTGATTTGGATGATGAAACAGCAGCAAGAACAGGGGCAGGGGCATGGGCAGGAGCAGGGGCAGAGGCAGGAGAAGGGGTAGGGGCAGGAACAGGAGCAGGAGCAGGAGCAGGGGCAGGGACAGGGGCAGGAGCAGGAGCAGGAGCAGGAGCAGGAGAAGGAGCAGGAGCAGGAGCAGGAGCAGGAGCAGGAGCAGGAGCAGGAGCAGTAGCAGGAGCAGCAGCAGCAGCAGGAGCAGGAGCAGGAGCAGGAGTAGGAGCAGGAGCAGGAGCAGGAGCAGGAGCAGCAGCAGGAGCAGGAGCAGGAGCAGGAGCAGGAGCAGGAGCAGGAGTAGGAGCAGCAGCAGGAGTAGGAGCAGGAGCAGGAGCAGGAGCAGCAGCAGGAGCACGACGGCCAGCTGATGCTGCTATTAGAAGCCCCTTCAGCTGCTGCTGCTGCCGCTGCTGCTCCTGCTCCTTTTCTCGCTTCAAAGCACTAAACGAGCTCTGAGCAGCTGGGGCAGAAGACTGGCTGCTGCTCAGGAGTGCGTGGAGGGCTGCTGAGTTGGAGCAAGGTAAGGAGGCTGCTCGAGCAGTGGGGGACGGCTGAGAGAGGGAGGATGGAGAGGAGGTGATGGTGTTGTGAGGCACCCCAAGGGACGAGTGCAGGGAGGAAGAGGAGAATGGATTGATGTGAAGCGGGGCAATGAAGGACCGAGCACGGAGCAAGGGGGATGTTGAGAAGAGGAGAGGCCATGGAGCATCTGACTTGGTTGTTTCCTCATCTCTTGCCGGCTGCTCAACTGCTGCCCACCTGCTGCTCTCTCTCATACTCCCACTACTGATTTCTCTCATACTCTGCCTATTGGTTTCTCTTATGCTTCCTCTACTGCTTTCTCTCATACCCCCTCTACTGCTTTCTCTCATAATCCCTTTACTGCTTTCTCTCATACTACCTCTACTTCTTTCTCTCAAACTCCCACTACCTCTCTCACTCATACTTCCTCTTTTGTTCTCTCTCATGCTCCCACTACCAATGCTCTCCCGTAATTCTCCACTTTCCAAGCTCCCTCTGCTTCCTCTCCCAGTGCTCCCTCTGCTCATTTGGGAACCAGGCAGGGGGCCAAAGCGGTCCTTGTCAGAGCCAAGAGAGTCTTCAGAGTCAACCAGGTCAACGCCTTCCTCAGTGCTGCCGCCGGGCGGCTCCCTGCCAAAGCTCTTGACCTTGTCCACTAGTGACTGAACACCCTTCTCCCGCACGTAGCGGTAACCGCGGTAGATGAGGAGCGCAACATAGATGATACAGCAGGCTGTAGAGACGACGAGGTAGATGATGTACAGGCCTCCGAACCGCTGTATACCGAACTGCACCGCAGTGGTCTTCTGAGGGCAGACGCTCTCAGACTGAAAGCGGAAGGAAAAAGAAGGAGGGGAAGGAGAAGAAAGGGCGACGACAGGGTGAGGAAGGATGGATAATGCGTAAAAAGTCACTGTAAGAGATTTTCTCGAAGTAAAAAAAAAAAAAAACACGGAAATGGGACAGCAGAGTGCTAAGGCAGAGTGCCTGGAGAAAGGGGCAGGTGATGGATGAGCACTGATTAATATGAAGCCGCGTGGCAGGTGTGGCGGATGTGGCAGCACTTGGATCATGCAGGCGGCCTTACACTGAAGTACTTGGCATGAAGCTTCTCCACCTCCTGTGTCATGCGCAGCGCACCAATGGCATTAGAGATGTCGTGGCCCAGGGCACTGCCCTTCTGGAAAGCCTGTCGGGGAGCAGGAGGGTGAAAGCCACAGCGCAGAGGGGCTCTTATTTGTCACTCCCCATACAGGAACAATGCACCCTCCTGTACTGTGTCATGCGCAGCACACCAATGGCGTTTGCGATGTCCTGGCCCAGGGAACTGCCCTTCTGGAAAGCCTGAGCAGAAGGTGGGGGGGGGTTGAGAGCCACAGCGCCAAGATGCTTTGAATTTGTCAGGGACCAGTGCGGAGCCCTTCTCGGAAGCCTGTGGGGAGCGAGCGGGAGGTTTTGTTTTGAGACGTCTCATTGCTTGGGATGTTGGTTCCCAATTCGGTGCCTTTCCGGAGCGCCTTTGAGTAGTCTGTGAAGAAGGCGAACGCCTTTGAGAGTTCTCAAAAGAGATTTCCAGGAAAGGCCTTGTAGCCGGTTTGTGAAGAAGGCGAGCAGAGAACACGCGCAAGAGGACAAGGCCAAACAGTCGCACCACACAACTTGCGGGTGAGTTTATGATACGTTCTTTCTCTCAAACTCGGCAGGCAGACGCACGTACAAAGGCGAGGTTGAGGGAGGAGAAGGGCTGTTGGGCCTGCATGACGTCACAGAAGTGCGATGTGAAGACAGCAAGGTACGGATTCTCATCCACTATCACTGCCACCCGCCCCGATGCCAGCGACGATGCATACTCGCTCTCCCCACTCAACGTCACCAGCTTGTCCTGATGGCGTTCCGGGGGTATGTGGAGGGGGAGGGAAGGAGAGAAGCGGAGGAAGGAAGAGGTGCCGTGGAGAAGAGGTTGAGGTGGGGGCCCTCGTCCACTATCACTGCCACCCTCCCCCATGCCAGTGACGATGCATACTCGCTCTCCCCACTCAACGCCACCAGCTTGTCCTGATGGCATTCCGGGGGTGTGTGGAGGGGGAGGGAAGGAGAGAAGCGGGGGAAGGAAGAGGTGCCGTGGAGAAGAGGTTGAGGTGGCGGCCCTCGTCCACTATCACTGCCACTATCGTCCTATGCCAGTGACGATGCATACTCGCTCTCCCCACTCAACGCCACCAGCTTGTCCTGATGGCGTTCCGGGGGTGTGTAGAGAGAGGGGAAGTGACGGGACACAAAGCAGCAGCGCAAAGGTTGAGGCAGAGGAGAGGGCGAGCCATGACCACGCAGCAGCAAAGCCACGCCACATGCAGCGCAAAGGCTAAAGATGTGCAGACGAAGAACCCCAAGGCATGAGCATGCGAGACTGAAGAGACCCATGGCAGCAGCAGGCAGGAGGAGACGAAAAGGTTCAGAAGAGAGAGGTATTTGTCGCATGCATGAAATATTAACACGACAATCTCCAAGCATGCAGCAGCAGCAGATCCACATGGTAGAACAAATATGCTATACCGGAGAGACTCCCAGGTGCAGCAGGTAGGAAGGAAGCAAAGAAGGTTCACAGGGAGGAGGTAGAGATTTCGTTTCATGCAGCAGCAACGCGACAAGCTACGAGCATGCAGCAGTACCAGAAGCATGCAGCAGCACCAGAAGCATGCAGCAGCACCAGAAGCATGCAGCAGCACCAGAAGCATGCAGCAGCACCAGAAGCATGCAGCAGCACCAGAAGCATGCAGCAGCACCAGAAGCATGCAGCAGCACCAGAAGCATGCAGCAGCACCAGAAGCATGCAGCAGCACCAGAAGCATGCAGCAGCACCAGAAGCATGCAGCAGCACCAGAAGCATGCAGCAGCACCAGAAGCATGCAGCAGCACCAGAAGCATGCAGCAGCACCAGAAGCATGCAGCAGCACCAGAAGCATGCAGCAGCACCAGAAGCATGCAGCAGCACCAGAAGCATGCAGCAGCACCAGAAGCATGCAGCAGCACCAGAAGCATGCAGCAGCACCAGAAGCATGCAGCAGCACCAGAAGCATGCAGCAGCACCAGAAGCATGCAGCAGCACCGGATCCACACAAGGTAAGGTACAAGAAACAAGTGTGCAATACCGGAGAGACCCCCAGCTGCTGCAGGTAGGAAGCCACGAAGGAAGCCTGCTGGTAGCCAATGGCGGCGTTGCTGTTGATGGCTGTGGTGATGTCCTGATGGGGCGTGGGGGAGTGGCAAGAGGAGGAAGAGGTGGGGGACAGGTGGTAAAGGCAGGGAGGGCGAGGGGCGAAGGGATGGAGGTAGTGCGAAGGGCGAAGGGCGAAAAACGGAGAGGCATAGAACGAAGAGAGAAATCACAGCACAGCACAGGGAGGGGGGGTGATGGGGTGGGGAGGGTTGGGGGGGAGGGAGGTGTAGGAAGGGGAGCTTACGAGAATGGTGGGCGTGAGCCTCTGAATGGTGAGAATGGCAGTGAGGTTGGAGGTGTAGGAGGCGAGGAATAGGAATGCGAGAATGAGCCACATGCCCAGCACCGTTCGTGCTAGCACAGAGCGAATCGAGTAGACTGCACACAGTGGGGCATGACAGGTTGTGAAATACGGAAAGAGAAGATGAAGATGTGATTTTAGGCAATGTGAGCACACTGCACAGCACACATGATGATAGGATGTAAGAGAGAGAGAGAGAGAGAGAGAGAGAGAGAGAGAGAGAGAGAGAGAGAGAGAGAGAGAGAGAGAGAGAGAGAGAGAGAGAGAGAGAGAGAGAGAGAGAGAGAGATGGACCCCCAGCTTAGCCTCCCCACTCCCCCAGTAGCAGCATCCCCACTCCCCCTGCTGGCCCAGATGGACCCCCAGCTTAGCCTCCTCCTCCTCACCCGCTGTGTCAGCCGCCGAGCCTCTTTTCTGGCCAGAACCACCCCCCTGCAAGCTCTCCCTGAAGCGGAATGGTCAGCTTGGGGGGAGCAGCTCCTACACACCTTCCTGGACTCGGCCCACATCATGAGACCGAGGAGTGCCCGGGAGAGGCGGAGGATTTGGCGGCAGGCGGCCCTGCCCGTGACTCTGGGAGGCCTGGGCATCACTGGCCCCGCCGTTGAAGGCAGCTACGCTTACCTCGCTTCAGTGATCAGCGCCGCCCACCTTCTATACTCCCTGGAGGAGTCGTTACACCCTGCTGTCGCCGCGCTCCTCCCCCTACTGGACCCTACCCACGGCTCCCCGCACGCGCTGCCTGCACGCCTCGCCGCGGCTGAGGCAGCTCTCCCACCCGAGGCTCTCGAGGTGCTCCAGGCCGGGAAGACAGACCCCAAGGGACTGAAGCTACAGCAGAGCCTAGCGCTGGCGGTTCACTCCCGCCGCTTCTTGAGGGCCATGCGCGAGGCAAGGCGGATGCGCCCCAACCCCCTTTCAGGCCATGCGCAACGGATGCAGTCGGTGCTAGGCCCAGGAGCGGGGGATTGGCTGCTGGCGATCCCGCTCATCCCCTCGCTCCGAATGGGCCCCTCCCAGCTCTCAACTGCAGCTGCCTTCCGCCTAGGCCTCCCCCTCCCAGTGCCTAGACGCTGTGACTGCCGCTACCGCACCACCTTCCCCGACGACCGCCTCCCCAACCACCTCATGCGCTGCGAGAAGGGGAAAGGGAGGACCGCTACCCATCACGCTCTGCGGGATGAGATAGCAAATATCGGGGCTGAGGCGGGTTTTACGGTTCATAAGGAGACGTATGTCTACTCACTGGTTGAAAACCTAAAGGCGGATGTCACCATCCGTCATCCACTGACCGGGGAGGTTTGGATGTGCGACGTGACCATGACGGACCCGATGTCATACCAGGACGAGAACTGCAACCGAGCTCCTGGTTGGGCAGCTAGGGCGGCAGCGGCAAAAAAGGAGGAGAAGTACGCACGGCGGAACACGTGGGTGGGGTTCCACGCGCTCGCAGTGGAAACATACGGCTACCCCTCGCCGGGGGTGCTGGCTTACCTGCGGCAATGCGCGGAGCTGGCGGCAAAGCTGCGGTTTAACGCAGCCCCTACCTCCTACGAAGCAGCGAAGCTTCTGACGGAGTACCGCCAGCGTTGGAGCGTGTGCCTCCAGCGGGCACAGGCCAACGCCCTCCGCACCAAGACCAATGAGGCCTTGGCGGCGGACGAGCTCGGTTTTAGAGGACCCATCATCCCTCTCAGTGAGGGACAGCTGCACCAGTTGATTGAGGCCCCGTTCGACCACTAGGGTCGGACAGGGGGGGGGGCAGAGTAGGTAGGGGACTTGGAATAGTTAGGATGCCGGTTTTCTGTTGAGCTTGTGCTTGTGTGTTTTGCACCTTCCGTTGTACCACCCCCCAAAGAAATGCAAGGACCATTCGAGAGAGAGAGAGAGAGAGAGAGAGAGAGAGAGAGAGAGAGAGAGAGAGAGAGAGAGAGAGAGAGAGAGAGAGAGAGAGAGAGAGACATGACCAAGACGTGGGTGGGAGTTCGGAGGAGAAAAAGGCAGCAGACAGGCCCGCGAGTCGACAAAAAAAGTCACCACATAGAAAGGCTCCTTCGTCAAACGGAACAGAGAAGGTGAGGCCTGCCCGCATATCAGGGTCAGGGGTATTTGGTAAATAAAAACGCCACCACGACGAGCCTGCATTAATCAAGTGGAGAATGTGAATTTCTTTCCTTCACTTAAGGCAAGTTCTCAAGGCAAACCTGCAGGGCAAAAGGCCCTACCTATAACGGAGTACAGAGTGTGAAGGCCAAACCTGCCACAGGACCGAAGGGATACACAAGAAGCAGCAAGCAGATGTGAGCAATGACAGCAGCGAGAATGTGTGCGTGTGTGTGTAGCAAGGATGAGTCATGCAGGCAGCAGCATCATCCGTCCTTGCAGATGAGATGGGACAAATGGAGTGTGTGCGCACGCAGAGGAACATTCGCAGCTATCAACGGGAGTGGTGCAGTTATCAACGGGAGTGGTGCAGCTACGCCTGGAAGTGCAGCTACGCCTGGAAATGCAGTTACGCCTGGAAATGCAGCTACGCCTGGAAATGCAGCTACGCCTGGAAGTGCAGCTACGCCTGGAAATGCAGCTACGCCTGGAAGTGCAGCTACGCCTGGAAGTGCAGCTACGCCTGGAAGTGCAGCTACGCCTGGTTCAGCCCCCACTCGAGAGACACCATGAGCGCGCCTGTGAGCAGAGAGAGGGAGGGGAGATCCACCTCACTCCACCTCACCGCATCCCCTCTCACCATGCGGCAGTGATGGCGAGCTGGTGCAGCTTTGCCTGGAAGTGCACGTTCAGCCGCCACTCGAGGAACACCATGAGTGGTTCTGTGAGCAGAGAGAAGGAGGGGAGATCCACCAGCACAGCGCACACTAAGAGCCCAAGGCCCTCAACTCACTGCACTGCACCCCTGCTCTCACCATGCAGCAGTGATGGCGAGCTGATGCAGCTTTGCCTGGAAGTGCACGTTCAGCCGCCACTCGAGGAACACCATAAGCGCGCCTGTGAGCAGCGAGAGACCGAGCAGGGTGGCCCACATGGAGGGCGTGAAGGGCAGAAACGCCGTCCACATGTCGCTGCTCTCCCTGGAGTACCCTATCAGACTCAGGCCGGATTGCTGCGAGGAAAGAGGTTTAGGGAGTGGGGGGATGTATGTATGTGAGAATATCCAAAACCAAAGACAGGAGGCTGCTCTCCTTTGCATAGAGTATTGTTGTGCAATACAAGCGGCTCAGACCGCCCCGCGGAAAGGGTGATTTGGAGATCCAAAAGCTGTCTATCGTACTCACTTGAAGTATACAGGCACATACGAGGTAACAAGGATAGATATGAGCTGAATCAACAGTAATTGCTTGCATTGACTAGAATAAGAGGGCACATACAAGCGGGGATGGATTGAGTGAATTAGTTTGAGGAGCTGACTTAAAAACCAGCCTAGAAGAGCGCTCTCCCTCTCCCCCTTCCCTTCCTCTCGTGCTCAATATACTGCGCAGGGACATACAACGATGCCTTTTGAGTCGACCCAAGCACATACGAGGCACACGCACGTACAAGGATGGATTGGGTGAAGTAGACCATTCGTTGCCGCGAATCAACCACTGTGATGTCGCCCACTGCCCCGTCAAACTCCTGTGTGCCGGGCGGTGAGATGAGAGACGATTACATGAGAGGTGCAGGAAGGAAGGCATTACGTGTTGAATTGGGATACGATTTGCTCTGGTGGTCAGCCAATGGGGTGAGGGTTGGGGACGGGCAGTGGGACGAGAAGTGCAGTGAGAGGTGATAGGATGAGAGGAGTGGAGTGATCTGGTCTTGTGGCATAATTCTTAGCGAGCAGCAAACGGACGGGAAGTACACGAGAAGTGCAGTGAGAGACGATAGGATGAGAGGAGTGGAGCGACGATAGGATAGAGTAGAATTGTGATTCACTCTCGTGCCTTCCCCTCTGCACTCCTCTCTGTCCTCCTCTCTGCATCCCACTCTGCAACACATAATAACCTCACCTTATTCTGTACAGCCTGCACCATCTGGGTGTAGCTGATGAGGGCACCCGTGTACTCAACAAACTCGTAGACGAGCTTATAAGGGAGATGGGCCACAGCCAGGCGGAACAGGTCCACACAGTACCCGGAGAAGCGCTCGTTGCCCAGCGACTCGTCCGCTGAGATATTGGCGAATTGGAGGTAGATCTGGGGGAGGAGGTATCAGGGGGCAAAGGAACAGAGAATTCATGAGGTTCCTCAACAACCATGCGTTGCCAGCGACTCGTCTCCTGAGAAATCGGCGAACTGCAGGTAGATCTGGGAAAGGGGGTATCAGGGGAGACAGGCACAGAGGGAGATTGAGGCGTCTAGAAACCCAGGCGCTGCTGATTCTATTCTCCTGCAGAGACATTGGTGAGCTGGAGATAGATTTCGGGTTTTGAGTCGACTCAAAAGCAGACATTGGTGAGTTGGAGTGATTTCGCGCCACGGCCAGGCGGAACAGGTCCACACGGTAGCCCGAGAACCGCTCATTGCCCAGCGACTCGTCTGCAGATAGATCTGGGGGAGGAGGCATCAAGGGGCACATGCACCGAAAGATTTTGAGGAAGCTCAACAAACGCACGCTGCGCAGCGACTTGTCTGCAGAGATATTGACGAATTGCAGGTGGATCTGGGGAGGTGGGTATTAGGAAACACGTGCACGGAGAACGGAGGGAGTCGGAAAGGCCAAGCCAAGCCAAGCCAAGCAGAATCGAACGATACCCACCTACAGGATGCTGCAACAAAGAGCAGACCTTACTTACCAGCTTCTTTGGCACCGCGATACGAACTCGCCGTTTCGGAAAGGCTCCTGTGGGAGCCTGGGAAATGCAAGAGAAGAGGGGGTTCAAATTATGTTTAAATGAGTGAAACAAAAGCCTATGAAAGGGATCTTTCGAAAGCTGAGAATGGGTACGAGACTCGAAATGATGATGAATGGATGAAGTGGAATCAAAACCACCCAAGACATAGAGTGAGCGCATGGTCAGCGTGAAGCTCGTTCCATGATGACACAGAGCGGAGCAAGTACCGTGCAATGAGTTGTGTACTGAATGTATGAAGAAGTGTTTTGAGACATCTCAAAACACTTCTTCATACGCATGGTATGCTTGAAGCGCCTTCCATGGCTTCGAGCGGAGCAAGTACCGTGCAATGAGTTGTGTATTGAATGCAAAGATAAGCTGCTAGCTGTGAAGACAGAAGGCAAAGGGATGTTTCAAAAATCTCATGGAGAACAATAAAGCAACTGATAAGCTGCATGACGGGTTTTAATATGAGGTACACCGACAGGGAGATATGCACCACAGTGCTGTGCAGTGCGGTGCTGTCCATTCAACAGCTGAGCCTGCACCTGTGTCAGACCACCAGGGAAGATAATCTTGACCGATTCCCCTCCACTAGCTGTTGCATTTTCCTGCAGTGTGACCGAAACACAAGAAAAACAAGGGGGACTGAATAGGCCTAGCAAGCGAGCAACACAGGACAAGGGAGACTAGATTGAGAGCAATGCACAACACAGCAGCCGAGTTGAGTGGAATTGTGCATTGCGCCGCCTCACAGAACACATGCACCAGACCATCTCATCTCAAGGACACGCAGCAAGCAACCACTGTGACCGTTACTACTTCCAGCCAGTCACACTGCCTGCCGTCACACCGACCCCTCTTCAGCTGCCGTCGCACCGGCTCCTCTCCAACCGCCGTCACACCATGACCGCTACTACTTCCAGCCAGGGTCCAGTACAGTTGGCTTCTGAAAATAAAATTAAAAAAAACCCGAGGATTTTGCCCAAACTGCTAATGAAACCATGACCGTTTGAGGTTCCCTAGATGAAGCAGATGCTGCTTGATAGAGCAGCCTCCCACGGGCACACCACCTCCACACTGCACTGGACTCACCCAACACTCCTGCTCCATTCGCAGTTCCTCCGTTCCATCTCAAGCTCTAAATGTAGCAGCTGCTGCTTACAAGGACAGCCTTTTACAAGCACACCACCTCCGGATCGCGCTGCATTCACGGTTCACCAAAGACTCCTGCATCCAGTTGCAGTTCCTGTAGCTGCACTCATGAGCGCTCACCAAAGCAGCTGCTGTTTGATAGAGGCGGCGCGAGGGAGACCAGTACCCCACAGGCACCACCTCCACGTTCCCTCGCAGGCTCAATAACCCAGTCACTGAACCAGCGGCATCCGTAGTGAACGGTGTTGACTCTGCTGACTTTGTTGACTGAGTTGACTGAGGTGACTGGTCAGTGGCTTGGCTGTGGATGTTGAGGATGCGAGTGAGGTTGTTCTGCTGGTCGCCCCAGGTGGACAGAGAGATAGTCCCTGATGCGCCAACGAATGTCGTTCTCAGCATGGCTGCTCGCAGCATGGGGCCCACTGCAGGGGGTTGGGGGGTTTGAGACGGGAAGGGTTTGTTGGGGTAAGATGCTTTGTGAGGCGACTCAAGAACCACCCCCAGAGGGACAGCGAGATGGTGCCTGATGCACCCTCAAACGTAGTTCTCAGCATGGCTGCTCGCAGCAAGGAGCCCACTGGAGTAAGGGGTTGGGAGAGGTGGGGTTAGGTGTAAGTGGAGATGATTTATGAGTTGACTTATAATCCATCCCCAGGGGGACAGCAAGATGGTGTCTGACGCGCCCTCGAACGTGGCTTGCAGCATGGCTGCTCGCAGCATGGCGGCCACTGGAGTGTGAGGGGGTTAGAAGGCAGGGTTGGGAGGGGAGAGCATGAGGCTTGGCTGTGGTAGATGTCGAGGATGCGTGTGAGGTTGCTCTGCTGGTCTCCCCAGGGGGACAGCGCGATGCTGCCTGATGCGCCCAGGGGCCCACTGGAGTCGGGCAGTTTGGGGAGTGGAAGGGTTTGTTGTGAGGAGAAAAGATGAGAATTGAGTTGACTTATACGATGGTGGTGCTTGCTTCGCCCACGAACGTGGTTGCTCACAACATGCATGCGGCCCACTGGAGTGAGGGGATTGGGAGGGGGGGTCGGGAGGGGAGAGCTGGGTATGTGAACTTGGGATACTGGTATGAAAGACTGCGTATGGGAACTAGAAGTGGGTGTGAGGGGAGAGGTGGTGGTGGTGAAGGGGAGGAAGGAGGGGGAGGCTGTGGAGGAGTTGGGGAACCCGACAGCATGTAACAGAGAGCAAGTTGTTAGCAGGTGGAGGGGATGTGAAGGGAGAAGCCACAAAAGGGGAAGGGAAGGGGGAGGTGGGGGGGGGAGAGGAGGGGTAGGGTGGGGGAGGGAAGGGAGAGCAGGGGAAAGAGCCGAGAGTTCTTACAGGGGCTTCTTTGGAGTGATGCTAGAGGAGGGATAAGGGCCGGCTCAGCACCACTGATGCTGCTGCTGCGGCGCAGGTGGGCACAAACAAAGGGCACAGAGAGAGTTCTCACAAGGGCTTCTTTGGAGTGATGCTAGAGGAGGGATAAGATCTGGCTCAGCACCACTGATGCTGCTGCTGCTGCTGCTGCTGCTGCTGGAGAGAGTCAAACGGAGGCGTGGCCAGGGTGAGTCAAGTAGAGCCGTGACGTTGCTGTGCGGTTCTGTGTTGTTGGTAGCGGTGTTAGAAGATGGCGAGTTGCTCCTGCTGGCGGGGCTGCTGTTATAGAGGATCGAGTGTAGAGCGTGAGCGATGAGGTAGACTGCATCGTGGGAAGCCAGTGCATAGGCCATAGGCATCTGGAGCATGGGGAGAAGGGTGCAGCAGGGGGAAGGCCCGAAGGGTGCAGCAGGGGAAGGTGCAGCAGGGGAAGGTGGGAAAGAGAGAAGCATTGGGGATGAGAAAAACATAGCGATGTGCAACAGCATGAAAGAAAGGGGGTGGAGGAAGATGGGGACACACACACACACACACACACACACACACACACACACACACACACACACACACACACACACACCTGGCGGCTGACATTGGGGAAGCGCACAGGGTCAAGTTTGAGCCACTTTGAGACGAAGGTAGTCAGAGGAGCGGAGGTGGGGATGTCAGTAGCCGTCACTATCATGCCCTGCCAGGAAACGGGGGAGGAGGAGGGCACTGCCTTTTGGCGCCTAAATAATGGATGTCAGTAGCCGTCACTATCATGCCCTACTAGTGGCAAGGAAAGTTGGGGAAGAAGGCAGGGGGGGTGATTCAGAGAGTCATTGATCGAGGGGGGAAGCATAGTGAGAAAGCAATGTAGGCGAAGGGAGCATTGTGGAGAAGAGAGCCGTTACATCAAAAGGTAACATAATACCGAACATGGGGAACAGCTTATGCTAATAAAATTCAAACTGACTGGCCACACGTGTGGGAAATAACAAACAGTAGGCCAACGAAAGGACCAAACCACTGTGGGAAAAACGTGGAGAGGGACGGTTTTTAGTCGACTCAAAAGCAGACAGTAGGCCAACGAAAGGACCAAACCATTGTGGGAAAACCAACGTGGATGAGACCAGCAGACCTGAGCGTAGTGCAGGGCAGAGCCAGTGAGCAGTGCACTCCCTTCTGTTGCAATCCACACGTTGTTGGCAGAGAACAGACCCAACCTGTTCGCTGCACATGCACACACATACAATGGAAGGAGGCAGGCAGGCAGACAGGGGGGAAGACGGACAGCAGTGGAGGAAGGTGGGGGCAGCAGGGAAGGTAGGTGGGGAAACAATGAAAATCCTCTTCCTCACTCACTCACACTTTCTCCCAATAAGTACCTCACTCGCTCCCCCCCTCGCTAACATACACACACTCTTCAACGCACCAGCAAGCATAACCGCCATGGCAACAGCAGCGGATGCATGAAACACGCCCACAGCCATATCCACCTCCAAGAGCACCTGCAGGCGCTGCTACTGCGACTTTTGAGGCGCCTCAAAACACGCCCACAGCCATATCCACCTCCAACAGCTCCTGCAGGCGCTGCTACTGTGTGAGTTCTAAGCGACTCACATGAATCCACACGCACCTGCCAGGATGACGCTCGTGGCAACAGCAGCGGACGCGTGCAGCACATACACAGCCGTGTCCACCTCTAGTAGAAGCTGCAGATGCTGCTCCACCTCTGCTGCTGTGCTCCCTGGAGTGATGGCCACGCGATGAGCCATGCTGATGCCTTGCTGGGGATCAGGAAGGGGGGAGGGTTATGTAGAAGGTGGGGGAGTCGGAAGAGTTGGAAGGGAGAGAGGGCTGGGTTGGAGTGCTGGATGCTCACGTCGGCGCAAGCATGCATGCATGCATGCTTCCAGCTCTTGAGAATTCTCAAAGGTGATTTCAACACGACTCATGATAGGGCTGGGTTGGAGTGCTGGATGATCACGTCAGGTGCAAGCATGCATGCATGCTTCCAGCGCCGTGCTGCCTTTTGAATTGAGGTGCCTCAAAAGGGAAGGCAGGGATGGGGGACAGGGCAGGGAACGGCTGGGAGATGGGATTGGCTGCTATACTGGATTGACGAGCTGCCTTTCGAGAGTTTTCAAAAGGAAATGGATGATGATGCTTACGTTGAGTGCGAGCACGCATGCTTCCAGCGCACAGTCTGGTGCGGGATGGGAGTCTATTCCGGCATATGGCATACTCGGTTGAGTTTTGAGAGTTTTCGAAAGATAATGGATGATGATGCTCACGTTCAGGCTGAGCACACATGCTTCCAGTGCGGTGATGCCATTGCCTCCATAGCGGTCGTCGCTGTGAATGGCAATAAATGCCCTCCACTGGTATATTGCCAGAATGTCTGTGGTGTTGGGGGGGGAATAGAGGAGGAAGGGTCAGGGGGTCAACCACAGTCTGTAGCAAATTTATGAGATCTCCAGCTCTGTACCGGTCGTCGCTGTGAATGGCGGTAAATGCTTTCCACTGGTATATTGCCAGAATGTTGGTGGTGTTTCTGGGGCAAGGAAGGACGGGTGGATGGACGGGTGTGGCATCAGCAATAAAGATGGCAATGGATGACAACGAGCATTGGAACGAGTGCATAAGAAGAAGGGAGGTGGGTGGTGGTGGAAGGGGGGGGGAGAGGGGGGTGCTGCTTACTGTGAGCTGTGCAATAGTAACCAACAGCTGCAGACACAAGGCAGTGCAGGAAGCTACAGCAGAAATGGGAGAGCAAGATTGTAGTGCAGCATACCAGCAATGGCGCGCATCTGGTGGCCGTCGTCCTGCACGGTGCGCATGAAGAAGGGCCTGGTGCCGCCCACTGTGAGCTGTGCGTCGGTGGCCGAGGCAGACACGAAGGGCACTTGAGTGGCCGTGGCGAAGGGGCTTACGAGTGCTGCCTGTTCTGATGTGTGTGGCCCTATCACTGCCACTGGCCGCTGCCTCACCAGGCTGTAGGCTGACCAGAAAGGGGGGAGCCAAGGGTGGGGGTAATGTATTTGGAGGGACACGGGGGCAGGGAGGATGGGGAAGAGAGGAACGATGTTACGACGAGAAAGTGTGAGTTACAGGAGCAAGGAAGAAGGATCACTGGCAACTAACGCTGTAGTACCACCAGGATGCCATGTCGTAGTTGTCATGCCTCTCACCGGCCATCATGCATCCACGCCTCTCTCGCCGACCATCATGCTGCCGATGAGAGCAGCCATGGAGTAGTTGGCTGTGGTGAGACTTAGGGTTATGGCAGCATGCTGCCATGCCTCTCTCACCTCGCATCATGCTGCCATACCATGCCTCTCACCGGCCATCATGTTGGCGATGGGAGCAGTCATGGAGTAGCTGGCCGTGGCAAGGCACAGATGGTGATGTGGGAGGATAAAGGGGTCGCTGTTGATTGCCTCCACTGCCACCATGCATCCATGCATCCCTCTCTCACCGGCCATCATGCTGGCGATGGGAGCAGTCATGGAGTAGTTGGCCGTGGCAAGGTGCAGACGGTGATGTGGGAGGATAGAGGGGTCGCTGTTGATTGCCTCCACTGCTATCACACTGCCTGCATGCGTGGGCGTGCAGTGTATTCACATCACATGGACGCATGCATGCACCACGCACGCACCATGCACATGCAGTGCATGCACTATGCCCATGCGCATCCACATGCAAGGCACACACATGTGTAGGCACGCGCGCATAGCAGAGGCACAGCAAGGTGAAGACCAAACACGATACACAAACAAAGAAACAGTTTTCCTTATGCCTCACAAGCAACCCAGCCAGTCGACTCACCTTCCTAGAACCTCAATCACCCAGTCACCCACCGTCCTGCACCTCTCAGTAAACCCAGTCCACCAAATTTCCTGGACCCCTCAGTCAAACCAGTCAACCCATCGTCCCGAACCCTCAGTCAACCGAGTCAACCAACCTTCCCACATCCTCAGTCAACCCAACAACCCACCTTTCTGAACTCGGTCTACTCAGTCAATTCGCCTTCCTGAACCCTCAGCCAACCCAGGCAGACCAGTCAGCACAATCAACCCACCTGCGAGCATATGAATGCCTTCAGCGACGTCCGTTGCGACGAGGCATCCAATCGTCACCTCATGCTCCTTAACGAGCGATTCTTGAGAACTCTCAGATACCTTCCTGGATCCGACTCCACTGACGGATTTCGACTTGGATGCATCACCGTTATAAGCCGGCTCGTTACTAGACACACTGTTGGACGAACTAGAAGGAGCAAATGGAACAGACGGATTTCCAACATATGCGTTAGTACCCGTCGAGCTAACATCATCAGCAGTTGCACCCAATGTTCTAGGAGCTTCCAAGTTCGTGTCAGAAGTTAAAGCACTCAACCGGCGGGAAATGGATACGTGTTGCTCGTTATCAACGGCTGTCGGCTTGCTCGTGCCGTTTAGGCATCGTACGAATGATGAAATGTAAGCTCGATGCCCAGTAGGGGGGTTTTCTCGACCTGGTGGTGACGACGCAACAGGTCCACAGTAAAAGCTCGGTGCGATTATTGCGACGACAATGCATCGCGTAAGAATAAACCACCTAAGGGAATACATCCTGTATGTACATAGTTCCTTTTTTTTTCGTGACGGGAATAATATCTTCTATGCCTGTGTACCCGAGAGACTGTCGTTCACAGCGAGTGTCGTTAACGCTAAAACCTGTCGTCAGTTTCTCGGTTCGCACAGGTACAAGCCGGTCGCCTATGCCATCACTCTTAGGGGACAAGGCGACGAAGCGGCATTGACTTCTGACGACGATCAGTCAGTAGTGCCAGGACTTCCTGAAAACGGATTATTAGTAATCAGGTTGCACTGGACACCTGCTAGGATGCCACTGCTCTACTTGAGCGCTGCTGCGTGACAGCCTTGGTAGAGTTGTGCGTGTGTGACTGGACACGGAACCACACGGCTGCAGAAACCAGAGTTTTCCAGAGTGTTGTTTCTCTAGCTGCCTCGATTTTGCCGAGCTAAAATAGTGTAGCTCCTATCCGTCAGTCCACGATTTTCGCGGCGCCACACTCCCACTCATTTTCGTGTTCCTTCGAGATCCCCAATTCCGTTACAAGCTTGCCACGCTACTAACGGTAGGCTTTACCACTCCTCATATAAAAACAATTGTTGCATGTTTCATTTTGCGTCACAGCTTTGTTCACCACCACCTTTCCGAACCAGTTCTGCTCGTACTTGAACGTACTGAAACGAGATCCACCACGCAAGTCCCGAAAATCACATCCCTGTGTTTGACCATCTTCACGTGGCTTTCCCTCTTACGAGCAAAACTTCCACTGCACAAAATGGAAGCTAGTGGCAAACGATAATCATCATACGCTACACGCCGTCATCGCCGCTGGATGCCTAGTGCCTGCCTTTTCTTCCCCCCTCCCAGCACGTTTTAATCAACCAGGCGTATCCCTTGGTTCCTCCTGTCGTGTTTCATAACTGTCACTTTAACGTAATCCTTAGAGTATGGCGCTACCTGGGGTGATGCGCAGGTCGATTCGGCGATTGAAGGACCCGTTACAGTCACAATGCGGCAGCCTGATCGCGTCGTTGAGATCGCACATTTTCGGTCCCACCCTGGGTGATGCTGACGTCAGCAGCTCGCATCGCGAGCCCGTTCAGTCCGCTATCTTTAACGGCTTACGTCCAAGTTCGTTCCTCTCTGATTCGTCCGACAGCGCTCCCCCCCTTGCATCTGGATCGTCGTCAGATTCTGATCCTTTGGTTAGAGGCATCCCTGAACTACCATCGGATTATGTCTCCACGGTTCGGATTCTTCCAGATTCAATCAATCTGACCCAGAAATCGTTCCGCGTGCATCCACCCTTCAGACTCGCTGGGTTTCATCCTTCGTTACAGTCTCCTCCCACACAGTACGTGCCGAGGCACATACACTGGAGACAAGAGGACGACGAGAGAGGAGCGGTAGAACACCACACTTCCATCAATGCACTTACACCTACTAGATCAGCACAATTACCTAAATCAGGCTCGTTTGTCTCTGCTCCGCAGTATCACCCGGTTAGAACAGAAGTTTGCACGGTGCGAGGGCTGTCCCCTGGCCTTACAAGACTCGCCAGCAGCACCACCGAAAGCAGCAACAGTGATGGCCGCACAGCAGGGAACGAGTGCAACAACAGCAATGCCAGCAGCACAAGTAGCACCCATGGTAGCACCAGCAGTACCAGCCTCACCAGCAGCAGCGACAACAGCAGCAGCAGCAGCGGCGGCGGCGGCGGCAGTGGCAGCGGCAGTGGGAGCATATCGTGGGTGGAGCGCTACCTGCCGGCCGCAGTGCAGCCATTCGCCCACCTCGCCCGCCTGGACAAGCCCACCGGCACCTGGCTCCTCGCCTGGCCCTGCTTCTGGTATCCACCCTCCCTTTCCCCCCTTCCCTCTCCTCTGCAGCTCCAGCAGGCTCTCTGCCCGACCCAGCGCTTTTCTTTCTCGTTGGGTCAGGGACCATCTTGCTCCGAGGCACCGGCAGCACCATCAACGACCTGCCGCCCTGCTCGTTTAATGCGTGCAACTTCCACTGTTTCTGCTTGCCACTCTCTCCCAGCCCATCCTTTCCCCCCCTCTCTCCACACGAGGTCTATCCATTCACCCCTCCTCCCTCCCGTACAGGTCGATCGCACTGGCCGCTCCAGCAGGCTCTCTACCCGACCCAACCCTTCTCTTTCTCTTCGGGTCAGGCGCCGTCTTGCTCGAGGGGCCGGCTGCACCATCAACGACCTGCTGGATCGGGACTTTTACTCTTGCTCCCTGCTCTCTCCCGGCCCATCCTCCCCCAACCTCCTCTTCACAAGGTCTGTCGAAACAACCTTCTACTCCCCTCCTCTCCATTCCCCCCGCTCCCACAGGTCAATTGCACTGGCTGCTCCAACAGGCTCTCTGCCCGACCCAGCACTTCTATTCCTCTTCGGGTCAGGCGCCGTCTTGCTCCGAGGAGCCGGCTGCACCATCAACGACCTGCTGGATCGGGACTTTGATGCCAAGGTGGCTCGCACGCGCTCCCGCCCGCTACCCTCCGGTGCCGTCACCCCCTTGGGTGCAACGTCCTTCCTCGGGCTGCAGCTACTGCTGGGGCTGGGGATTCTCGTGCAGCTGAACACGTTCAGGTGAGTGAGAGGTGTTGTGGCAGGAAGCGGGAGTGGCTTATACTAGGTCCCGCCCGCTGCCCTCCGGTGCCGTCACCCCCTTGGGTGCCACCTCCTTCCTCGGGCTGCAGCTACTGCTGGGGCTGGGGATTCTCGTGCAGCTGAACACGTTCAGGTGAGTGAGAGGTGTTGTGGCAGGAAGCGAGAGTGGCTTATACTAGGTCCCGCCCGCTGCCCTCCGGTGCCGTCACCCCCTTGGGTGCCACCTCCTTCCTCGGGCTGCAGCTACTGCTGGGGCTGGGGATTCTCGTGCAGCTGAACACGTTCAGTCAGGTGAGTGGGGGGGTCGCTGTGTTGTTTTTCCAGCCGTCGTTGAGCGGATGAGTCACAGGTGCTTGGCTTGGCATCAAAGCTGGCTGCTAACCTGACCCCAGGGGTCACCCTGACTCATGATTCGAAGGGCTGCAGTATTTTTGAGGCGCCTCAAAAGTCACTGAGGTGCTTGGCTTGGCATCAAAGCTGGCTGCTAACCTGACCCCACCCTCTGCCAGCGGGTGCTGTCACCCCCTTGTGCTTCAGAGCTGGTCCGTGTCCCCTGTGACCTGCCTCGTGCCCATTCCACTCCCTCCATCGCCCTCCTGTGTCCCCTGTGACCTGCCTCGTGCCCATTCCACTCCCTCCATCGCCCTCCTGTGTCCCCTGTGACCTGCCTCGTGCCCATTCCACTCCCTCCATCGCCCTCCTGTGTCCCCTGTGACCTGCCTCGTGCCCATTCCACTCCCTCCATCGCCCTCCTGTGTCCCCTGTGACCTGCCTCGTGCCCATTCCACTCCCTCCATCGCCCTCCTGTGTCCCCTGTGACCTGCCTCGTGCCCATTCCACTCCCTCCATCGCCCTCCTGTGTCCCCTGTGACCTGCGCCTTCCATCCACCCTCATGCAGTCAAGTGCTGGGAGCGGCGTCACTGCCCCTTGTCTTCTCCTACCCCCTCATGAAGCGCTTCACTCACTGGGTAAGGCTTTGCAGCTGAGCCTCCATGGGATTGCTGAAAAGCCTTGCAAGACAAGCTTGAGATGGTAAGCTTGAGATGGTGAACATCAGAGTACCCTTGGAAGTGTCTCATCTCCTTCGTCTGCCTTTAGGTTTTGCTGCTTTCATTTCCTCTCATGCCCTCGAATACCTTTCATGCCAACTCATCCCACACAAAATCAGTCATGCGTTTATCTCAACGCTCTGTCTCCTTGTCTTCAAGTGGGAATTTTAAAAGTCAAGTCAAATCTCTCGTCGTCCCCTCCTCTCTGTTCCCCCCACACCCAGCCTCAGGCCTATCTCGGTCTTGTCTTCAACTGGGGGGCTCTTCTGGGCTGGGCGGCAGTGCACGGCTCTCTGCACCTGCCAGCTGTGCTGCCACTGTACATGGGCGGCATCTGTTGGACGCTAGTGTACGACACTATCTATGCGCACCAGGTAAGACGGAGCAGACCTCTCTCGGTGGTCGGACCGAGTGTGTATGACAGTATCTATGCCCTTGTGCTCCAACCCACCTGTGTTGTCCATTTGTTCCATCCACTCCATGCATCCTCTATCCAGGGCATCCTCTATCCCGGGCATCCTCTATCCAGGGCAAGGCTGGCGACATCACAGCGGGCATCAAGTCAGCGCTGCTCTCTCCCTCTCCCATCGCCCATCGCAAGCCTCTCTACCTCTCCCTCTTCAGCTGGTGCAGGGCATGCCCTTTGTGCTTCAACCCACCTGTCTGCTCCATTTATCCCATCCCATCCACTCCCATGCATTCTCTCGCCAGGACAAGGCGGATGACATCACAGCAGGGGTCAAGTCCACAGCGCTGCTCTTCGCCCATCGCACCCCTCTCTACCTCTCACTCTTCAGCGCTGCAGCCATCACCAGCCTTGCTGCTGCCGGCTCTGCTGTC